GTACCAAGGGGAATCTGTTTTCGAATATGACAGTATCCAACGTCCCTGATGAAAGCCTCCAACTCACTGGGCTGGCATCAAGGCGCTTGATGCATTTCCTAAGCAATTTTATTCATGAAAGTTTTGGTCAAATCGCCAATCAATCTGAGAAAGAGGTATCAAATGATTCCGTGATTTCTCCGGCACTGAAAAAGGCATATCTTGTTCCAAATCCCCCTTTCAGTTCGGTAACACGAGTCTTTGCAATCTTATTCGGGGTTTCAGCCGCTGTTTTAGGGGCTTGGTATTTTTATTAACTTAAATTTATTTCACTCTCCTAATCTAGCTCGATTTTTGCAGCATATATCATTCGACAATACATGTTTTCGGATAGTGCTGTATTATATAGAGCTAATTTCTTTTGTAGTTGCAGCTAAATAATTTTGGAGTCCCTAATGTCAAGGACGTACGACACATCATATGTGCGGCTACAAAGCCGAGAATGCCGTTGGAAAAGCGGAACCTCGAAGGCTTGTTCAATCAAAGCACATAGCGATCAAGAAATAATAGAAAGAATGCAAGATTTATCTAGGTTCAGTGATTTGAAACAGCGAGACCGGGATGTAGCCTGCAGGAATCTATAATAACTCTTTATCACTTCCCGAATGCATTCTAACAATATAGCAATCGAGGATCGCCATCAAAGTATTCCTGTATTTTCTTGAGTTGGAGAAAGCGGTGGTATCTGTGAAGGTAGAACCCAATGCGAATTCAACTTCTTGTCGGAATAACTATATTAGATCTCTTCTATACGTAGGCCCGCATGCCGAAAATGGCCACTGACACTTTCTTCTTTTCTTCCAACCATTTTGATACACCATTCGAGGAAAGTATCAAATCCTTGACCGGGGTCCATCTCATAGTAGCCCCAACTACGTTTGATAAAACCTTTTAGCTCAGCAAAGAATTCTTCAATCGGGTTAAAGTCCGGCAAGTAGGGTGGCAGATAAACCAACTTTACTCCCGCGTCGGCACACATTTGTGCAAGTTTCTCGGAATGGTGAAACGACACGTTGTCCATGACCAGAACAGATTTAGGTTCGGGCCATCTTCCGCAGTGCTGAAGAAGCTCAGCAATGAAGTCCTCAAATATAGTAGCATCAGTTGAGCCGCAAAACACACGACAGAACACAATTCCATCTTGGGCATACGCGGGCAGTATCTGGTATCGTTGGTCGCGGTGAAACTGGGACACTTGTACGGGAGCTTTTCCGACCGGTGACCAGCCTGTCCGTCTAAACCCGGCCCGTTTGTCACAGCCTGATTCATCCACGTACACTAGATGATACGACTGAAAGTCGGATATGTTGTGCAAATAATATTCTCGTAATTCAGCACTTTGCTCTCGAGCTATTTGTCGAGCTTTCTTTTTCGACCAACCGTTAGAGACCAGAGGCCTTCGAATACTGGAGGTCGTTTCTAGCGTTTGGAATTCATCCCAGAGGAAAACGGCCATCTCATCTAGATTGTTGAATTCTCCCCCTGCTACGCCACAGCAGGGCACTTGCCACTACGTGGCTCAGTACGAATCCTAGGCCTCAGGCTGCCAACTGGCCCTGAGGCAGCTTCAATTGACCGAACTACGCGAATTATCAACCATGGATCCAGGATAATGCATGCCCTTAGGGCATGCATCCTGCCCAAATACGCGAATTCCCGGGCAGAAGTATAAATAGGATCTCTTTCCTCATTAGGAGGAATACACATTTACAATTTTTCCATATTTTTGGATGTTATGCTGTCAACTTGTAGGCTCTAGTTCTTGGAAGATCTTTACATGCTGAGTGAGCACCTGCTTATTCAACATAGATAAAGACCAGGTTTTTCGAGCAAGTGATCGCACAGGGCTTCTAACATTGAGGGCGTTGAAGTCGGTCTCCGGCCGATCCTATTGGGGGGAGCATGGACGTTTCCAAATTGCCGCAAGTTTTTCCGAATATTTTTGATTGTTCGCTCGCTGCATTCAGCTTCTTCGGCCATCCGAGACGTGGTTAGAACTTGGCTTTCTATCATATCACGAATGAACTGGAGCTTTGAAGGGGGTAACCTTGGTGCCATGATGCGTGAACCATATCAGGCGACTTTCATGATGATGGGTGAAGGCTAACGAACTGGGTCAGTCAGTAGGAGAGAGGGGTAAGGATGTTCTACGAGTTTCCTGTAATATACAGTATTTTAATTCATTTTTTCGTTTGGTAAAAACAGGCATCTATTTTTGGCAAGGAATGATCTGCGACCAATCCAAGAATAGACTAGGGCGTTTCAGAATAGGGTTTGGCAAACAATCCGCAAGCGTACTAAGGGGAATCTGTTTTCGAATATGGCAGTACCTCACTTACCGCCACCGAGCCGCCCATCCTACAGAGTCGAAACATCGTATGGCCTACGAGAAAACTCTCTAGCCTGATAGACGAAATTGGTGAAAGTCTATGTTTTATTATAGATATTCTCTTACCATCAGAGGTACATCTATCGTTGCTTGACACATCATCCTGATTGCAAGATACTTAGCAAAGCACTTCAAATCAACACCCCCTCAGGATACCATATGAGGCCATGCATTTCAATCCTCGAAGCCAAGGATATTCTTTCTCATGGTGACGGTCAAAGAGAGCTTTTTCTTTCTCGTACAAATGATGCAGTTGAGTGCAAAATACTGTTTCACCGGGGCGTCAGAGTATGATGAATCATGAGTGTCATCACTGGCCCTTACAAGGGAATGGGCCGCCATCCTCTTAGCTAATTTTTGCTGGGAAATACCTGAGCTAAACCCAAAACCCTATCATTGTTTTCCAATAATTTTGATTTCATTGTACATAATACACAGGGACAGATCATGTCGACTCAAACGCCTAGACGGATGCGACATCATTACGTCGGCTATTCTATATCCCGAGATCACTACGTTGTTTGAAAGCTGGCTTGGCTGACCTCATTAGATTAATACCTTCAAGAGGGTTTCAGAAGATATGGTCAGAGTAATGGTGTAGTTTTCATGGGAGATTATGATAGCATGATTATGATAGGGAGATTCTGTAGTGAGAGAAGTGACTGAGTTCGATCTTTGATGAACAGAATATCTTTAGGTCCATTGACCCCTAAGGGTGCCCCGTTTGCCAGGCTTCGGCAGGGCAGAGCGCTTTCTCTCTTATTGCCCTTCCTCTCTTCATCTCTCTGAAATACGTACAGCTGGATTCAAAATTGGCTTCCATGTTTCACACAGAGAAACTGTTGAGCGCAATCGCTGCTGCTTCTGTTGAGTATCGACGGGAGTGATCTCTTTCGTCTTGTTGATCAAAGTTTGGTACAGTGCCGACCGCTATCGCCTTCCATGTCGACCAACACAAAGAAGCTCTTTCAAACCCTAATCACATGGCACGATAATCCATATATGGTTAGTCTTTAATTTCAGGACCTGTTCGAAGGCTGAGTCGTATGACTCGGAACAAGTAAAATACCAACCATGGTATCTATACACGTACTTTTACAGATCTAGACATGCCAGGCCCACAATCAAATAGGTTTAATCTGTTGAGAATTCATGCTTTACGCCCATATTATGAGTCATTCACCCGGTGGAGCTACCACTTCTTGGCATGTATACCGCAGAAAACCTACTTCTAGAGCAGGGTCAAATTGCCGAAGCTATTCAGACGCTATTCTACGCAGTCTAACCAATACTGCTCAGGCACAGAAAGCGAGGCTATTCCAGCGCCTACCATGAAGAAACATCTTCTCCTAAACTAGACGAGGAAGGGGCTTTCATGGAAAGCATAAACGGTGTAAACCCCTCATCAATAGCAAAATGCACTTTCGATCTATAGTCTCTTTGATACAACTTGTCACCCCGCTTTCTCAGTAAAGTAATACATGCTGCTCTTCTCGTTGAAGTTCCACATATATAGGGCCTCGTGCATAGTCTCGGAGAGAGTCAGAATAATTCTTCTGTCTAAATTAGAACAGATATTATGTCTCAATGCTCTTTCCAAAAATAATGCTAGATACAGGTCGAGGGTAATGAAGCCTTTTCACGTTCCACGTGTTGATTGCGGAAGTCTAAAAATTAGCGAGACTAGTCACTGTTTCGGGATATTCACGTCCAAATGTCTCAATAAATCTATCCAGTGCCCATCAATGCTTGATCATAGATATATTTCTAGCGCAATAGGCATATAGTACATTGATATCAATTTTCAGAAAGTTTATCTACCCTGTTCATGTTGCTATGTAACAAGGGTTGCCTTGGACAGCTAGCTGAATTGCCGCTGTCATCACATCATTTCGTGTCTCAAGACTTCAGTCGACATCATGGTCCTCTTTCTCCATGGATCGATGATGATTCTGTGACATTTGAAGCAGCGGATGAGGAGTAGAGAACATGTTTCTAGGCAGGCTTCCTCGCTGCAAGAGGGTGCGAGAATTCACAGTCGGTAACGATGTGCCTTCTTGTTGGACATCCATGGGATCCTGAGATTGAGAATCCTACATTAACAATTATTGTATCCTGCATCAGCGCGGTTCCTTACAGTTGTTTTTAACGCAATCTGAACGCTTCGCACGTAGTTAACCCAACCAGGATACTATTAGCCGTTATTAGAGAGAACAACCAAAAAATGCGTTGCACAGGAGCTTGTTACCTGCGCTCTTGCCCAAACAAGAAGCTGATCTCCCTCCTGCAGTAGCGAAACAAAGTCACCGCCAGTTTTTTCTTTTGACCAGGACACGCTGTGAGTACTCCATAGAGGAGAGATCGGGTTATCAAGTATTTTGCGGCTTATAGAGTCGGTGCTGGTGCCTCTATCGTTCAGGATCGGGACATTTACAAAATACCATCCCCGATCCTGAATGTGATCTCTAAAATTCTCAGGGTGAGGTTTGATCATAGCACTGTGTTTCAGATCTTCAAAATCTGAACCGGGATGTTTTAACCAGGGTCGTATGATTGATACTTCAAACCACGTCTAGCTGCCCTTGCTTGGATCGTCACAAAGCCCCTGATCATGGCTGGTAATCCGCAGTTCCAGAATCGAAATGTTCGCAGGAAGAGAATCGGAAATTAGATATAACGCTGTTGAAGAACAAGATGATGCTTGCATGCCTGGCAGGGGGATTATCACATCTTCACTTCGAACACTATGAAGAGGCAAAAAATCCGTATCAGGCGGAGGATGAGGGTGGTCTAGTGTTGACGTTCGTTTCACATTTCCCATTCCCTGTACCTGATGCTCTTCCGCTTCTTTATGTCTTCCGTGATTATCCAGAGTGGACGTATGATCTGGACCGAGGGCTTTCTCATGGCCTGCCAATGCTCGCTGGTACATCTTTTCTGCCTTCTTTAGCTTCTTCTGGTACAAGTAAAGATTTCCCAGACAATGCAATGCTCGCAGTAACTCAATACCGTCATGTGACCAACCAAAATAACGTACATGATCGGCATGTGGAAGAAGCCGTTGCTGAAGCTTTGCATGATCCCAGTGAATGTCACTGGGCACAGAGAATCCAACGGATATCAGTGCCAGTTCATGAAACTGCATCCGATCCAAAACTTTACTTTCGTTGGTAACATGAAGGCACCAATCTTGTACCACCGGATGCATCGCATAGCTTCCTTCCTGCTGCTTACTCTCCAGAAGTGAGAACCCGATGAGAGACTTCAGACCAATTTTAAACGCGAGTCCGCTCGATGTCACCTTATTGAGCCAGTTCGGGATGTTGGAGCTGTGACGGACACACTCCACTAACTCGTACCAGATATCACGATTATCAAAATGAGCAAGGAGCAATAGAAGGTCTGCTGCGCTTGGGTCTCGTTTCTGGATCTCAAGATATGAGATCATCCATGTTTGCAGTATGTTGCCTTGTTGGTACTGACGTCCAGGGTTTGATTGTAGCTGCAGCTCAGACCAAGATTTTTGGTAGTACTGCAAGTACTCAGTGATGCTGGTTCCAGTTTCACGCATAAACGCCCCGGCGATAACAATGGCCAAAGGCAGACCACCCAGACGATTGGCAAGAGTAAGGGTATCTACAAATGTCAGCATGATCTGTGAGATCTTTTCATCAGGTGTGATCCTACCTGGATTATTGTCAAAGTTGCTAGTGGTGTTACTTGCTAAAAAACCACTGCTTTGTAGGAGTAGTTCAATCGAGCTTTGAGATTCAAGCCTTCGAACTGGGAAAGGCTCCCCCAACTCACTTAGCCTCTGAAGTCGAGAAGTAATTAGGATGGACCCATGGTCTGCGTTTGGGAAAAATTCCCCAATGTCATAACCATCAGACTCTGCACCGTGAAAAGGGGAATAATGATCGACGTTATCAAAAATGATTAGCCAGCGAGAGTTGCCATCGAATGCTAGCCACCGTAACATATACCTGGCTTGTTGCTCCACATCTGTATCAATACTCGCTTCGTTACTCGAGGCCTGTCCTGGTAATCGGCTCAAGGCAACACCCAAAGATTGCACGAGCGACTCGCGATCCTTGCCACTCAGCCAGAAGATAGCCGTAAAATCATTTTGATGATCTCGTGCGAAGCGAACCGCTAGCTGCGTTTTTCCCATTCCGCCAAGGCCGTAAAGAACTGCAACTTTCCGTGACGGTGAGTCTTCTGGTTGCAAAAACTGCCACAGATTGTCTAGCTCGCCTTGCCGTCCCACGAAGTTCGAAATCAAGGGAACTGCGTTAAGGTCTAGAGGGATATTGAAGCGGTGGACTACACATGTAAAACGTCATTTAGTCATGGTTCCAAACTAGGCAAGGACACAGATTGAAATTTAGAATCTCTCACCAGGATCTGCTAGAGTGTCTCGTGCTGTTGGAGTGCTTTGAATCTGATGGATCGGAGCTACCAAGACAAGTTCTTTAGCATAGGCTGCTGCCACCATCGCCGCATATCCTTGCCATTCTTTGTTCTTGTGTGAGTCAGCATAGTCGCAAATGCCTCGAACAACCAGACAAGGAAAATCATTCATCAGCCCCGCAGCTTCCATCTCCACGCAGAGAACCCCTAGGTCTCGGGCCAACTGGTCTCGCCGCCTGCCATCTTTCACAACCTGATTTGCAGATGCGATCAGTCCATAGTGTATCACTGGCTCTTCATGCTCGCGTGAAGCTCGTGAAGTCGGCTTGAACTGATCACAATCGTTACATGTATCACATACTCCATGTTCATATTCCGTTTGGTATAAGAGGTCCTCTTTGGTTGGTCGTGCAAAGTTTGCAGCTATCCGCGGCGTCATTTTGGCTTGGACCTCTGAAATGAATTCTAGAACTCGACTTTCCTCTGTGAGGTGGTGGGCTTGGAGTGTAGCGAGGGCAGTCAGCAGGACCTTAGGTGGCCGGTTAAGCATCCCTGTTCGCTGGAATTACCCGCCGCTCAACGCTTTCCCCAGATCGTATTGGATCACGCCTCCGAACATATCTGCTGGCTGGCTCACCACAATATCGCCTAGTCGAATGTCCGCCTTGCTGCTTGGTACACCTCCACCGATACCAACCATCAGGCCGAACCGGATGGAGTGGAAGCTCGAGAGCAACTGCATTGCCACTGTGGCCGCTGATACATTTCCATATGCACCGCTTGGTAAGCTGGCAATGACGATGTTGTGATCCCCGATATTTCCCAGGATATAGCTGTTTTGGTCTGTCGGCGGGCGGGGTAAACTCGGGTGTATTGCGTCCAACATTAACTTTGCGGCTGCCATCTCCACGGGTAAAGCGCATATCCATCCGACCGTGTAATCGTCAAGACATAAAGAGGAAATGGCTGCCATGATGTAATATAGGACCGTTGACTTTCAAATCTGAATAGCTTCATATGAGTTCATGGGAGTGAGTTATAAGGCAAAAAAGATGTCGTGGGGCCCAAATTTTGGGAATGAATGTCAGTCTTGACAGGAGGGGCGGGGTTAATTGGTGAGGCTGACGCTGAGGCGAGGCACCCTGCGCTCACAACCAATCAATTTTTGTAGTGGAGAAGGAAATGGTTGACAGATTGCCTGCTCCAGGATCGCCATGTTTGCTTGGTTTGGTTCGAATCTTCTGGTAAGCGTTTCTAGTTCTGAACCCTTGTATCTTCCATACTGGTATCTTTAGTTTCTGTTTTTGATTACCGGGCTCGCTACAAAACCAATTATTTACGCACTATTCATATCTGTGTTAGCGTATCATGTGGTTAGGTTTTGAAAGAGAATCTCTCTGTTCCTGACATGGAAGGCGAATGCGGTCGCCACTGTAACCCCCATCCCGGTGAGATGAAATGCCCGGTGTGGTGAAACGCCCGCCAGGTACCTGCATATTCGAGCACCGTCACTCCTAACCCACATCTTGAATTTTGCCTAAAAGCTACAGAAACGATCATCATGACATCCTTTCTTCCATAGCTCTTCTCAAACGGATATCACGAAATATTAGAGTGGTGAAATACAGAATTACGCGCACTACTATAAAATCCGCTGTTTACTACTACCTCGCCAAGATCATCACCAAAACCGCCTGAGGTGGGTAGAAAACACAAAGTTAGATAGTTGCGCATACCTGTTTACCTACCATGATCTATTATGTTCTCATTATTGTGTTGCCTTAGGACATACAAATTTTGGTGGAAGTCTTGGCAGCAGAAAGGTACATAAGACCAAAGTATTGATAATGCCAATACACACAAAAAAAACCAAGGATGTAACTTGATGTATGAAAAGTACTAGCGCCGCTCAACGGAACAGCCACATCTAAACCGTGTTCGCACGTAGGAGATGGTCTGCTTCTAGGGAACATGATGCCAGAAATACGGTGGATCTGCATGTGGATTTCTGGGTGTTTACCCACAATATCTAACCACATCAATATCAGACACCTCACATCAGAGTGCATTTTACTCTTTGTCAGCATGTCCTACAAGATTGCCAATTTCCTAGATTCAGGTAGCTAGAGAGTTCGATATTGCTATCGGGGAACCCATACAATACTGGTCACTGATTTCTGTCACATAACTCTAGAAGAAGGACGTCAGGACCGCATCAAACCATGAGAATATACATCAATGAAGAAAAAGTATGCAGGACAGATACTGGAACTACATGTATGATACCTTTACACTACGCGCTATAGATACAGGTCTGGAATTATGGAGCTTCTTCGCGTCACTTGCGTTGATATGGGAAGTTTAAAGAACATCGAGACAGGTCGCAGTTCTGTAATGCTCACGTCAACATACCTCGTCGTATCCTTCCAATGCACTTCAATGCATGGCTCCCGCCTCTTCATATTTGCCTCGGCTGTCAAGCACCGAGCCAAGGTTGTTTACACTGGCGAGTGTGTCAGGATTCTCGCGTCCAAGCACCTCTTCATATCCTTCCAACGCCCGGCGATGCATCGCTTCCGCTTCTTCATATTTTCTTTGCCTGTCAAGCACTGAGGCAAGCTTACTAGAACTGCTAAGCGTGCGAGGATGCTCGCGTCCCAGCACCTTCTCGCGAGTTTCCATCGCCCGTCGATGCATTGCTTCCGCCTCTTGATATTTTCCTTGCCTGTCAAACACATTGCCAAGCTTATTGACACTGGTGAGCGTGTCAGGATGCTCGTTTCCAAGCATCTTCTCTCTTGCTTCAAACGCCCGTCGATGCATCGCTTCCGCCTCTTCATATTCCCTTTGACTATCAAGCACTAAGCCGAGGTTACTGACACTTTCAAGCGTGTAGGGATGTTCACGTCCGAGCGCCTCTTCATATCCCTCTAGTACCCGTCGATTCATGGCTTCCGCCTCTTCATATTTCCCTTGCCTGTCAAACACTAAGCCAAGGTTATTGACACTGGTGAGCGTGGAGGGGTGCTCGCGTCCAAGCACCTTCTCTCGTGCCTCCAACGCTCGTCGATGCATCGCTTCCGCCTCTTCATATTTCCCTTGACTGTCAAGAACCAAGCCAAGGTTATTGACACTGGTGACTGTTTCCGGATGCTCGCGTCCAAGCACTTTCTCAATCCCTTCTAAGTCTCGTCGATACATCGCTTCCGCCTCTTCATATTTTCCCTGGTTCGAGAGCACTAATCCGAGTTTACTGACACTGGTGGGTGTGTCGGCATGCTCGTGTCCAAGCATCTTCTCTCTTGCTTCTAACGCCCATCGATGCATCGATTCCGCCTCATCATATTTCCTTTGGCTGTCAAGAACCAAGCCGAGGTTACTGACGCTGGTAAGCGTGGAGGGATGCTCGCGGCCAAGCACTTTCTCGCGTGCTTCCAACGCCCGTCGATGCATTGATTCTGCCTCTTTATAAGATCCTTGGAGACCCAGAAAACATCCACAATTTGATGAAAGAGTGGCAGCATTTAATCGATCTTCATCATCTCCGTCATTGATAGCCTTCAGCACACTTCTGGCATGCGCAAGGAGCGAATGAAATTTTGCCCAGTTTCCGTACATGCCATCCGGAAATGCTCGTACCATGATCTCCCGTGACTTGGCCTGCCAGTTGTGAAGCTCCTGATGCTTGCCCAGCCATGCCCGGGCCGATAACTGTACCAGGCGGTGCATATCAAACAGCGTTTCGTTTGTCTTCAGTCGCACCAGAGAATAGCTGAGTAGCGGGGTCAAGGCATCGTGAAAGTCCAGGGTATCTTGAGCGTGATCGCGGACCAGGTCTTCAGGAATTCCCTGTCGATCAAACATACTCATTAACGCCAGAAGATCGGTCGCCGCGGGCCGCTCCTGGCGGACCTGTTCAAATGATAGGTGCCATGTTGTGATCACTGCATATCGAATGCTGGGATCGCGCCGGAGATCAGCCGAATCCTCATTTTGGAGAAGCCGTGTCCGCTTCGACTCGCTTTCATAGAAAAGTCGAAGGTACACGGATACTGTAAGAAGGGGCAAGCGGTTGGCAATATACGCCGCAGCCTGTGTGATAGCCAATGGGATATACTCTAGTGCCTGGACCAGTGCCCTCTCGTCGCCTCCAGACTCTCCCGATTGCGGGGCCGAAATTCTCGCCCGAAGGAGTGCGAGGGATTCTTCCCCATTCATTGGTTGCACCATGATCACATGACAATCGTTCCCCACCAGATTCCGCGCCGCACGACCATTTCGCGATGTGATCAGTATGGATCCATGCGCGGCCTGTGGCAGGAACCTCACCAGCGGCCCTCGTTGATTAGATCCATTCCCACCAAAAAAGACATCGTCGTTATCCGCATTATCTAGTATCATCAGCCAGCGTCCATTGCGTGCATCACATAACCACTGATACACGAGCTGGAAAAGGTTGGTCTTCGGATCGTCCCGTCCTGTAATCTCTGCAACTGCGGCAATCTGCTGATAACCCTGTTCCAGCCGCGCCGCATTGCTGGCGTGGATCCAAAAAATCCATGTGTCCGGTGTGGATTCCCGCACACGATACGAATACTCGATTGCTATCTGTGTTTTTCTGAATGGGAGTTCTATCAGTCACAATTCAACAGGCTATCTTATGGAGATAGCTCACCCAGCGCCGGCCAATCCCACCAATGCCATCCGTTCATGACGCTGGCCGATCGCCATATGTCTTTTCTTGATCGCACTGATGACCGACTCACGGCCCACAAACAGCAGATCTTTCTCGAAAGGTACCGTGGAGCACGGCTGGGGCTTTGGACGCGTCTGCGCTGAACATAGTTCCCATTAGCTTGTAAAAAGCCCCTGGAGCGTCTCGCTTACTGAATCGAGCCGCCACCACCGGGGGCGCGTCTTTTGCGAACTGTCGCAATTTATCAAGCGCCGTTCGATACCCGGCCGCATTGCGCGTGTCGAATTTGACGATCATCGAGTGATCTGCATGCAGCGGTACCTTGTCCTCGACGTGGTCGGGGAGCTGGAGAAGCGCCGAATCTGTGCCAACCGTCATCATAAAATCCCCCGTGCGTTTCCACCGTCTGCTTTCCGAGTCCTAGTGCTACTATCAGCATATGCCAGAGCCTGTGTCAGAAAAAAAGCCAACACAATATACCAATATCAACCGCCTCGTCTGCTCCGTCTCGTAAAAGCTGACCACTTTACGGTCCCGGATCAAATTTTTGAAATCGGCCAGTTGATGGATTAATAGATCCGATTTACTGGAAATTTGCTGCAGCAACTGTCCTCGCGGATGGCGTCCATCGCTGGCCAACATCTGTTGGATATCGTCTATCACCAATCCTTTATGTGGGATGGCGAAAATCATCATGCCGTATGTGGCTCGATGTAGGGACGTGATTGTCGGGTGGTCTTCCTCCATGGTTTGGATGGCCCTCACTAAGCACTATAAGTAGCCGTCAGTTAAGAAAACATGATTCGAAAAATTAGATGGTGGTCCCACGTGAGCCAAGATGATGCCTCCAAAGCTGTGTGCGATGAAGATGAGAGGTCTCTGCTGCGGCTACTTGAAAATTTAGCCAAAAACAACTGCCAATAAAAAATTTTAATAGCGTCACTTACCTCCTTCGTGTCCCGGATTTGCTTCATCTCCTCCATCAGCTCCCGCCCGTAATCGAGGATCGTATCGACTCCGTGGCTCGACAGCTTGGAGTTGTATCCGTAGATCATCGTGCGGCACTGCGGAAGATCTTTTGACAGAAAGTCCCGGAGCCACATCCGACCAAGATTTCCTCTCCCTTGCCATGATCCATACGCATGTCCATCCAGTCCGGCAATCGCAATGATACTATGTGGCATGATCAGTTAGTGTCAGTTCTCTAGGTGTAGATAACGGCACAGGTCCTTACTCGGCAACCACAGGCTCATTCTTGTCTGGCGTGTAGAGCTGTGTGAATCCAAAGAAGTGACAGTCAAAGCTGATGTCATCATCTCCCATCTCGATCTGCCAGCCTCCAAGCGGGTCAACTCTCAGCTCACGGAGAAACTGAGGCACCCCACCGCGGAACTGCACCAGCGCCGCCCTCTCCGTGTCACTTTCATAGCATGAAGGCACGATCGTGATCTCAGCTTTGATGTGCGATTTCTCGTCGTCCACGAAGTTGTCATTGAGCGCCTCTTGTAATGCGGTCTTGAGATCCCCATCGGGCCGTTCTCGCGAAAGGCCCGTTACACGAAAAACGTGCGACTTTCTCTGACTAGCCATCGTGATTTGTTCTTGTGGCTGGTTATGTACTTGTGAATTAGACAAGAGCGGACTGCATTACCCCTGCTGGAAAGATGTCCACCTCAGTCTGCCGGTGAGGCTGAATCAACCAACACGTGCGGGGTTTACGCACGCACCTACAATCATCACTTCGTAAATACTGCTGCATACCAAATGCAATCATTTCTTGCTAGCCGTGCAGTAGATCATCTGTCCTGGGAAGAGAATGTGACCGTGCTTGCTTTTAGAAGATCATGAGCATTCAGAAATTGGAAGTTCTACTCGGGACCAACATTCCGCTTTTGATGATACCAGCACTGAGGGGAACTTGACTCTACTTGTTGCTCTGTTTGGCCTCTTTCTGCTTTCCTCTTTGCCCTGTCAAGGTCTCTATAGACTTCGTACATAAAGAGATCAACCTTCCTGCCCCGCTTCCACCACAGCCCCTCGTCCACTCATAATCCCATAATCATTTCAAGTTTGTAAATTGCTCTCTGAAAGATGTCCCAAACGGAAAGACTATTGGGAGAAAGGCGGGGTTGACGATGAGTTGACAAAGAGGACCCAGGCCAAGTAAAAAGGGGTTCGGTGCACACGTCACTGCACCCACCTCAGTAACAACCAAAGGACCGCAAACAGATGTATGCGATATGCAGGATTGTGGAAAGAGACGAGGAGAGGAAGAAAAAAGGGAGAGAGAATCTCTCTCAATCTGCTCTATTTATACCTGCGAGGGGCCTCGCAAACCAGAGAAATACCGCCAACGCTGATTGGAGGCGGAGGTAGTCGGATAAGAATACGAATCCAACGAGTGTCTTCTCCGCTGGAGAGAGAAATGATATTGCGTACCGAGTCGAGACCATCACAGCCGCACAGCCGTAAAGAGATGCTTCGGCGAAACGTTTAGGCAGGACGTTGCGTGGCTGCAGTTTGAGGAAACCCGGTAACATCAAGCTCTATCCACTCCATTAAATAAAGATCCACTTCTTCCTTGAGATATGTGAGGATTGCGGGAATATCGGTAGCAGGGTTCAAGATATCCGGACCCCACCATGGCTTCAATGGAAGATATCTTTCGGAGACTACCAGAAGGAGTTGTTTACGCGGGTGAGCAAAATGACATGACTCAGAGAAGCTTGTTTACATACGCCAGGAACGGGCTGCAGGGCTCTCCGACTGCTCTGAACACACTCAGCAACATCAGACCCGATCTCTCCCGTAGAAGAGCTCCCGCTGAACTGCACTCGGACAAATCAGGTTTCCCCCGACTCTTCTTGGACGTGAGGCTGTATGGTGGGGGTGGGCGGTGATGGATGGCTCGCTGGTCGCTGGCAGGAGATGAAGCCTCTCCGACTTGCCTCCGAAGACTCATGTGGTCGACAATTCTGGCCAGGAGGCTGGCTGGTATATGGAAACTTTGACACCATGTTGGGGTGAATCAATGTCGACCATTGCTTAGATGTATTTGGTAACATCGCAAAGCAGCTTGCACTCGCCAAAGAAAGAGCTGAGGATATGCCTTCTGTTTATATTGCCGAGTTAGCTGTGCTGACTAACCCTCGGATGATCGAGATGTTTGGGTGATTTTTCCAATACTCCACATCGAGTACATGTAATACTCCCTAGGGCTGGAGTATCTCTGCACTGATATGACACCAGCAGATTAATCAACTTTGGCAGTCTCCGAGGCTGTCCTACTAATACACTATTTTGATGGATGTATTCACTAAAATGAATTTTTATGAGAGGGGGGCAGATAGCAAGATGTCTATGGTGGTTGATCTAGCTATTTTCCCATACTGGTACTAACTGGAATCTTCATAGTTTGTCCATGGGTCTATACAAAAATCGCGTAATCGCTCCTATTGTAGTGTCGATACAGACCATTGACGAGCGAGACCTATGGGATCTGGGGCAGGGCTGGGTAAAGATATGATGCAACGTGAGAGGCTTCAAAGATCGTGAGAAATCCCTCTGCCATGCGGCTAAACACCAATAGCTTTTGCGAAGATCCAACAAGTTGTGAAACAACTGAAAGAATATAGCAACATTCTCTCAGCTCCGGCCGGAACCGCAACCTCCCCCATTGAGCCTGCCAATCAAGTGTGGTCGTCTACGAAGATCCACGTGCATCTTCATAAGGTTTGCAAAGTTAGGCCTGAGATAAGACGGTCAAATAGATTCGTGGTCATATCAGCTTATCGAAAAAACAACCAACTTTTTTTTCATTAATGCAGTCAGAATTCATGTCGTGGTCGTAATCATGCTCGTCGTACGCTCTCGTAGGCTGCCCCTCCAAAAAAAAAAGCGCGCTGGGCTCACCGAGGAAAATTTCCGAGACGGCAAGGGCGCGCGGCGAACTACCTGCGACAGGAAATTGTACAGTAATATGATAAAGCTCTGATAGGGACGGCGAACGGGTGCCACTGTTCATGGTGTGAAGGCGGTGGGGGTCGAGGGCAAAAGACACGATGGAGCACGCGTCGTAGTGACGCCCTGGTCTTCTCTCCTCTCCGGCGATGGAACTCCGAACAAGTATGTTTCACAGTCGTGGTGGCTGTTCCTATGCACAATGGCACGGAATTAGTGATGGTTTCCGTATTTTAGAGCGCAATAACTCGTCCCCACAATTGATATACTTAGTGCAGCAGAGGGTGCGATTATTGTGATATGACTCATGTGAGGCTGGTGCATATCAGGAACCAAGTCGCACTGTCGAAATTAGCTCCGAAGTGTCTCTACAGACGACCAAGTTGATTGAAAATCAATATGGCTAAATGTTGTATGTAAAGGCACATGTAGCCTTCTGAGATACTAAGTCAATTCATACATCTGGAATAAGACAGTAATTCCGCCCAATTTGCGTTCTGTGGCCTGGTTCATTATTGCCTTTGGCAGCTCAGCAGTTTCTGTGGGTTAAAATGCACATGAAGGAAACACGATGAAGTTGGTTTGGGGATGAAACATCAGACACAGAATGTGCCCCAAATAGTGAATATTTTGGAAAACACAAGAAGTTAGGAATTTACAAATTTTGGAATCGAATCTTTTCCAGAAGAAACTTCTCTCATGTTTGCTATCCCACTGGGCCAGACCAGTGCTGATCGTAATCACGTATGTGTCCAGCCGCGAAAAAAGGGATATGTTTTGACGGATAAATACTTTCACCGAGATGCCGCCCCGCTGACAGTGACGACAGGGAGGCGTCAGACTTCGATGTTCCCTCGATTTATTCTCGATAATGAGTGGAAGCAGCTCACCGGACTACAAAGCGCTTTTTCACAAGGAGGCCTCGCTGAGGCGGCAGGCAGAGGAACGAGAGAGGCAGGAAGCCGAGCTGAGACGACAGGAAGTCGAGCTGAGACGGCTAGCAGAGGAACGCAACCGACCGACAACATTTCCAGAGTTCATCCGACATTGCCATGATCTCCTTTGGACGCCGCTCCGAGCCCAAACACCGTCTCGCTCCACGACTGGCAAAATCCCTGCCCCCATCGGAAAATACTGTCCTGTACGACTGCTTCCGTGGACTGGCTGTGAAGCTAGGCAGCAGGAAATTTACAGATCTGTCTACCGTTACCTACAACCGGCCGGAGAAGATGCACCGCAATTATTCACGTCCCTTGTTGCGTTGGAAGACCATGGTCGACGATTCGCACGCCGACCGATTAGCAGCGAACAAGACCTCGAAACCTACGAGCGACTCGCCGTCGAAGATCATGTGCACGACATAGTTGCTGAGTTGTGCAAGATACCCGAAGCCCGCGAAGAGTTTCGGTTAGGCAACGGAGTGCGGTTCGATAATCACGCCAATGCTTTGGATAAAGATGATGAAGCCGATGCTAGCCTGCCCTCAACCTCTAGACCTTCGAAGCCAGATCAATTTTGCATTCATCGAATGGACGGCAATAGGAGTACTCTGCTCACCACGGTCGAATACAAACCCCCCCACAAGCTCTCCGTGGCCAGTCTGCGGAGGGGACTTAGGCCGATGGATTTCTGGCGCGAAGTTGTCCAACCTGATCGTGTGCCGACGGAAGAGCCAGAAAAATCAAGATATCACGCCGAGCGGCTGGTTGGGTCAGCCATCGTACAAGAATTCAACGTGATGATTCAAGAGGGTCTGGAGTATTCATATTTGACGAATGGCCTGTTGGACGTGCAACTCTGGGTGCCCTACGACGACCCAACCACCCTTTATTACCACCTGGGCGATCCCGGTATATACGAGATGGCGGGTGTTGCAGGGCCTGGAATCCCGAGGACTCGAATCGAGAGGGCCCTGTGTCTCTGTCTGATGAGTTTTCGTACTCCTCTTCGTGACCAGGCGTGGCGGAATGTCGCCAAAGACGGTCTACCAAAATGGCATTCGATCCTTGATAGCGATCGCGCTCAGATCGTAGTAGTGGAATTACTACGGGGCCTGGACGTGGAAGATGCTAATTCCGAATCCACGAGTCCTGAGCAGTCAACCTCTGAGTACCTCACATCCTCGTCTCCCATCACCAGCGACCCTCGAGTGACCACCCGAGCGGCCGCTAGCTGCGCGCCACTATCCAGTCCCCGTCACCGCGAGAGTTCTTCGGATTCCGAGGCCGACCCTACCGCATCCGCGGGACGGAAGCGGGGATACAGTCAAGTTAAATCGTCCCCTCCAACCCAACGGTCCGCCCCGCGAGCGGATCGCCAAGGGAACCAAAGCGGGCAATCTCGCTCCCACGATGCGCCGTATTGCACACAAAAGTGTCTTCTCGGGCTACAGCAAGGCGGCACGGTTGACCCTGGGTGCCCCAACACGGAGCTGCATATCCTCGGTGGAAAGGCGGACTGCCACCCGATCAGTGCAGCTGACTTGGTGAAAAAGCTGAAGGTGCAGCTTGATCTGGATCTGGATCATAACTGCACTCCCATCGGCCCTTGTGGGTCCTCCGGCGCACCATTCAAGATTACGTGTGCCACCTTCGGATATACGGTTGTCGGGAAGGGGACGACTTCAAAACTCTGGGGGGAGGTCTCGCCTGAAGCCGACATCTACCGGGTCCTCCAGCGTGCCCAAGGATCAGCCGTTCCCGTCTTTCTCGGCGCCATCAATCTCGCCCAGACTTACTTCCTCCACGGCGCTGGAAGGATCCGTCATATGCTTCTAATGGGCTGGGGTGGTGAGAGCGTGGGCCATACTACTTTAGAAAAGACCATTCGGGATGCGATTTCCCGGTCGGTGAAGGAGATACGTCGTTGCGGCGTTGTTCATCAGGATCTTCGTCCGGACAACATCCTGTGGAACGCTGAGCTCGAACGAGCTCTGATCATTGACTTCCATCTGTGCACTTTAGACCGTCGACCGCAGCACAGACGGTCGCAGGCTCTCAAACGATTACGACGTGACTCTAAGGAACATCACTCAAAGCGGGTGCGGGTAGTATGAGCAAAGGATGCTCGAGCTGGAATTGATATTAGCAGCCTAAGCTTCGTAACCTATTTTATAAAACTTGGCTAATCATCAACGCAGTGCCAGCTCACAGTGGAATATTGGCCTTCAGGTCCACGGTTCATTGTTTTGTTTAGCGAACATATCCAGCAGTCTTCCAATTCATCGCATGTATTCAACTTAATTGCGATACCGATTAGAGGTGTGGCCCGCTTGGTAGAGGTCTGAAGCGCTCAAGGCGCTTGTCGCTCCAGCGGCTTCACCAATGCGAGAGGAGATAGAAACAATGAGTTCACGAACACTAGGGTAGCTGTCGTTCCTAAAATTGAAAACAAAGCAAATGACTGCAAGCTGGCACCATGCTAGTTCATGGGGTTACTGAACTTTCTCGAGCTGCGAACAAACAATGGAAAGTGTCCCCAGGTACTGATGGCAGCGTCATCAAGTCAGATGCACGAGCTCTGGACGGACTGGTGTAGTCCCATGAGGCCAACCAGTCTACTTACTCCACGCTAGTCCATATCTCGCTTACAGACCCTATTTGCAACGACTGTTCGACTATTGAAACTTGTCTCTTCCAAAGCAATGTGTTTTTCAAATACAATACTGACTGATTCTGTTCACTCAAGCAAGGCCATATCTCGAGAGGTCAACAATGGATATTTGACATGACTGATGGAGGTTCTCTCGATAACATCCTTCATTCGGCCCCACTTTCTCCACTTTCCCCATGTTCTCCTATGCCCCATGGGTATTCGAAGTTTTTGAATTCAAATGTCTTGTATTCAACCGCGGAAAGGGGTAGCGCCTGTCTGAGGCTGGACAACACACTCAAATACTTTTCCATGGTCGCTATGCATAATTCAGCAGCAAATTCTGGATACGCTGTCAAGAGGTCGTAATCAATCCCCGGGGTCAGCCCTCCATGAAGTTTTCGCAGGTTTTTCACAATCAGTTCTATTACTGACTTCCTAATATCTCGGTAGTCGGCATTTGTTGAATAGAGTTCCTTGATGACCAGCGCCAATATCTGCTTTTCGGAGCAATTTTCAAATGAATCTCGAAAGTTCTCTGCTGCTTTGGTCTTCAGATCTTTGATCAAGAAGTAATCCGCTTCTCCATACATGCGGAGATGAAAGTAGCATGGGTGGCAATCAGCCAATGATTCGTCGATAGCATCCATTTGCTCGCTGGAGCCTGTTAGAGGGCCCTCGTCAGCTACTGAAGTCTTTTTATTCACTGAGCATTCGTCCGTAAGGCTCGCTGCAAGTTTATTTGACAGTGACGTTGCAATTTGGTCAACGGCATGTTCTTCAGCTGAAAGATTCTCCACTTCATTTTGGTCTCTTTGATAGAGTCGCAAAGCCGCTTCCGAATGCCATGTATCTAGTTCCGGTATTTAATCGCTATCGCTTGGTGAAATTTGTACTTTGGTCGTATTGTCTTCAACTGTGTAGTGTCCAGTATAAAGAAACTGTAGCATCCTTTTGACTAATGTCGGGCTTCTAGTGTCCAAATTGACAGATCCCTGGGATTCCTGTGAGTCAGGCACATTAGCCTCGGTCTGAGTGTTCCGCAAGATTCTGCTTAAGTTTACATTACCTCGAAAGAACCACAGCATGCACTTTGAAAGTATTTGGATCTGGGACAAAGAACAAGCTTATAAGCTGGGAAGACTCGATCTTGGCAAAATATTTTGAGATCGCTGTAATCAGGGTTGAGGTGGAGGCTTTTTGAAGATGAGCGGAACTCAGAAGAAAAAGCTTGCCATTTTTAGAGAACTGTTATATTTCTCACCTAGCAACGATATCCAGAACGACATTTTGGTACTTTCTCTGTTCCATTCTCTCTTCAATGACGGCAGTGGGCTTCGGGGGGTCAGGAGCAGGGTCGCTCTCTGTTGATGACGTTGATGAGCTGTGTCTTCTATTTCTTCTGTTTACCATAATTTGGAGATAATAGGAAAGACTGAAAAATTTATTCGATCGAGCGCACATACGGCGAGACAGCTATATGTCTCGGAAACTGCGCGCCATATGCACAGCTGCCCGACCCCGCCTTTTGGTTAAATAATACCACCAAGTCGTCTTTATGTCTCACTGCTAGACCGATAGAGGGATTTCATCGGTATGAGTGTATTATAAATTGTCGGGATGAGGAGCCATGGTGATGGCTAATACTGGAAATGCCCATTAGAATCAGATGATTCATTGTAGTTAGGTGATAAAGATCGGTTGAACGATCTCAGGGGTCTATAAAAATAAGCTTTCGCGCGTCATAACGCCGGACTTCCGAATGTGCCCGGAATGCCGTACAATTACTGGGGGGGAATGGTGAACGATGAGTAAGCCTGTCTCAAAGGGTCTCAGTGGTATTTGACCACTCTTCCAGTTCGTCAAAATATGCTACCTCGTCTTGTGACTATATTGGCTATCCAGGGGAACAGGGATGTTCCATGGAGGTACAAACAAGTCTAACACTAGAGCTGGGGAGTTCTTCGATAATCTGTCGAACTAAAAGATACCGAATATATTCGTATTCGTTACGAATATTCGCAATTCGCATTCGTATTCGCAGACATTGTTGATTTTGAGATAAGTGATTGTCTGAGTGATCCTGATTGACCTAATGAATTTTTCGTTTACAGGGGCAGGATGTCTCATACATGTCTGTTCCTAATCCCTGCCATCAGGTTCAGCCACCGTGATACTCAACAATTATTTTCAATAGTTATTCAAATCGAATCGAATCAGGCAATAGCTCGATTGGATTCGATTCGTGCGGAGCAGTACTTGGTCTGGAGTGACGGGGCCAAGAATAGTGTGTAGGTAGTGGCTTTAGATAGAGCACTTACAGGGTTGCTATATTCTCGGGGACCTCTTGGTGCGATGTCAATGTTGACCATCGTTCATTAGCTTATAGATCAATGAGCTCATTCATGACTTACGTTTTCTGGTAGCCAAGCCTAAGGACGAACGGCAAAAGGTAGTGGTCCTTGCGCTCGTGCATTGCGGTCGAAAATCGGTTCTATTGAAATTATATTGTCTTCTGGATCAATGGAATAAGGACAAGTGAGGCTGAGATTACCCGCGACACGGATATTCGCGCTTTCTCTTGGAAAGTAACCCAGGGCCTGTACAGTAGATCAGCTCAGTTGGCTGCCATGGCGGAGGCATCTTTGCATGGACATCTATAATCGGCTGGTACGAATGGCAGTGCATCTGGTAGGAAATTATACCTGCATCTCTCACAGGCACTGTCGGACTTGCTAATCCACGATGTATTCTAAACATGCCAGTACAGTGGAGATACTCCTTCTGGTTCAAAAGGAAGAACTTATCGACTGCCTCAGACACAAGCCTGCTCGACTTTGCGTGATCAAGTGAATAAACTGTAGAGCAAATATCCGGGGGCAGAGGACGTATCATAGGTTTCTCGGCTGCTTCTGTTGCGCAAGTGCTCTGCTTGGTAGAACGCGTTGAGGAACGACTCTGTTGATTGAGGGGTTTTGAAACACATTTCTTCTACCGCAATTACTTGCAGCGACATGCAGCGACATGCAGCGACAATTTGTATGCATTTAGCTCAGCGAGAGAGACAAGTTAAAGTAATGCTGAAACAAAGGTATGCTAAATCGGCAAAGAAACGTTGGCTCACTACCGAAATCCTTCAGGGCCCTCCTAAATTGAGGCTTTCAGGAAGATGCTCCATCCTCAATAACAGGCTTCTATCTCTTGTTCTGATACCTCATCTGTAAGTGGCTCAACGTTGAATCACCGAGAAGCATCTTCAATTTCATTGCTAGAACGTTTGAACTTTTTGCCCAGCCTTGCTTTGGTGCAGGTTGGGGTTGTCTTGGGCTGTGGATCTGTACTACAGAAAACGAGGTCACTGTCGGTCAATACTCAATTTTCGGACTTGTGATCAAGAACAAAGACATCAATTTTTTCAGCTTTACATTACTTTCTCTTCCACTCTTTTTCTTAAAGATCACTGAAAGTTCTACAATGTTCCATTAGTCGGATCTCTCAGACTTTCAACGATAGTGGACGCCATGTCCTGGTGTGATGTAAATCTAAATGTGCGTTTATATCTGGCCCTCAACGTTGTAAGCTGTGATCACCAACTTGTTGCTCACTACTGTATCCCTCTATAAATTTTTGGTCGATAGCTCGATGAAAAGTAGGTTGAGTCTATCTAAAATTGACTACTTCAATTGACCATAGTGGTGATTTACTTATATCCAGTCCATAGCCAACTACGTGTGCATAATCTATAACGTATTTCCCTACCGAACTGGCCGTACCATTGAGATGACCACACCCAAAACACATAGTAAAAGCGATATATTATACAAACGACCATGTTTTTATTCTAGCTCCTTGTTTCACGATAGTCATTGATTAGATCGATTAGCATTTTGTCTCAATTTGAAAGACAGGACAAGGCCATTTTATGGTCATTTCAAAATTATCGAAAGTTACACTGCCACATATATCTATCGCAACCGCAAAATCTTGAATTTTCCTTAAATTCCCCATAGATGCTAGATAACAGTTAAGAAGGCATGATTTTACAAGGAAAGCTCCATATAGTTAACCGTTGTTGAGATAGCAAATTGTAATTTATCGCTTTGACTGTGTGTTTTGGGGTGGCCATCTCGGTAGTATGGCCGGTTCGGTGGGGAAAAACGTTAAGACTTATAAAGGCCAGGTGGAAATAGTGCTGCTCAGATCTTGAATTTCTCGTTGGCGCAACATGGATGCCACGCACAGTTCACCCGACAAGGGAGAAGACCGACAGGGGAGAAGAAGAACACCAGCCCGGTGAGTTGTGAACTCTTAGGGAGAAAGACAATTTACGGGAAACCTGTCCGAGAACGACGAAGCTCCTTCTGTTAAGGATTTCATATTGTATATCAGGGGCTACCTTTGCGTTACATAATTTGAAGCCAAAAATTGAAAACGATCTGTATTCATTTCGCCAAGGTACAATTTGAAGGCTTCTCTGACTTGATTCCCCCCCCCCCCCCCCAAAGTAACACTAATTTTCGTAAAAGATTCTGTTAATCAGTCAATTCCTCCATCAAGCTGTTGGAAGATTAGCTTAGCATTATCGAGAGTAGCCTGCTCGCTCTGGATGAGAGATCTTTGTTCATTCGCCAGTGAAGGTGCCCGCTCCGCCTCTGGTATCTCTCCTTCATCGGCCACCACGGCGTGGAAGTCAAGCACAATGCCTTCTATCTGGTTATCAATTTCTTTTTGTAGTGATTTGAGGCTTTCAGCCATAACTCCACCGTAGACGTCTGTGGCACGTCTGGAGTATGCGGAAAATAACCTAGAGTTTCTCAGATGGTTTTCCATGTGATCCTTTCGCCGTTTGTCGCAGCCTGGTCCTGTTATACAGTTAATAACTTAAAATGAAATTTTCAAGATTACATCCCGCTTACCTCCCTCTCCGTTACAATGATTATAGCATGGCTCCATAAGCATAGAGATGAATGAATCGGTGTGATGCTCTAGCATGTCTCGCTTGGTGATTCTGAGAGACCGTTAGACCCGTCGCTCTACTCTATGTTCAAGTGAGATTTGCCATACTGTGTCTTCAGGATCAAATTCCTCATCTCATTCCTGATGCGCGTGTTGATATTTTCTCGTCTATGCCCCATGCTGACAATGATGTTTTGCAATGCGTGGGGTGCGAGATGCTGATGCCCTGTAGATGCACAAGATATTAGCATGAGACATTGAACCATGAGTGTTTTCAAAAGAGAGCACAACTTGCCTTGGATTTGGAAAGTTAAATGTTGAAATGACAAGTCAACCTTATCGGTCAAAATTTCGATTTCTGGCTCCAGCCAATCCATTGTCTCTTCCCATGCGAGATCCAATGCTTCACGGGCTTGCTGCATGAATTGCTCGTTCCAGGGCCGCTCATTTGGCTGTGATTTTGTGCTCCACGTACCATAGTGCTGACAAAATGCGGCGTATGAGCCGACATGCCACCGGGATAGCTGCTTGTCATGGCTAACCTGAAGACTATCTCTCTTTTCTCACGTGTGCACTGGCTTCCTTCAAAAAAAGGCTGTCCTGCTCTACCATCTGGCCATCGACGTGCTGGGACACGCACGATTCCCATAGCTGTCTATAGAGTCCAACATGTTGAGTTAGGAGCAAAGAAGGAGGGAGGTATCTTTGAACACCATTCCTGAAAAAAGGGTATTGAACTTCGGGCATCCCATCATTATATTACTGAAGCCTTAGAAAAAAATCATTTTGAAAGCCCTGATTTAAAAAAAAAAAACTCAGTTTTGTCAATTTGAGCAGAACGCCGAGATACCCAATACTTCTGCTTCTTACTTCGGCGCCATCGAAAAGCAAAAGGCTTTGAATATTGATGGCGCCAAATCCACATCGGCACAGCAGTTTTCTTCCACTCTGAACAGGAAACCTGGCCACAACTATGACGAGAACACCCTGTGTACGGACGCCAGAACTCTCAAGTCGATCAAGATCTGGGATGCGCACGCCGGCGCCCGTCTACAAACCCTCAGCGTCAGCTCTACTGTCAATTTGTCTTTCGACCCCACCGGTTCTTTTCTTCACGCTGACATTGAATTCTCGCCCTTCGTGACTCGCCGACGACTACCCCTATGACTGCGACTGCAGACGCCGCTTCAGAACTCCAAATGCTAAAGCCAAGCCAGTCGTCGCAAAGTCCTGAATATCAAGGTTTTGGTATCAGTTCTTATAGGTTCTGGATCACAGGAAGCTCAAAAGAATTGGATATAGCTACACCATCATATCGCCCAATGTATTCTGCTGTTGGACGGTATGGATTAGCCGTGGTGCTTGGTTGTCAGTCTGGACGTGTCTTGATCTTCGGATTCGCGCCTGAGGATCCCAACTGAGCTTTTTATGGCCAATATTTCGCCAAGATAGGGAGAAACTAACAATCTCAGCCCGGCCTTGTGTTACCACGCCCTGTTCTTTCTCCCGGACGGCCGTGGTCGTCACCTGATGGTCGGTCTGAGCTTAGAACGGCAACCTTCCGTAATAGTTACAGACGGGCTGTGGGGCGGCTACTATATTAGGCGGCTGTTGTTTATTTAATACACCACATCACATTATCGTTATTCTGCCTGTATTCAACGTCAAAAATTTGTGATCTTTGTACCTTTCTTTCCGCCGCCAAGAATTTCGCCAAGCTCAACATTCCCGTATCTTTCTTTATTGTGATGGCATGAAAAGATAATGACCGCGACTGAAAGGGCCAAGTAACACAAGATTGTCCTTTTACTCATCTCTGACGCCTTGATGGGTGATCTTGGTGTCTCAGTAGTCGACAGCCGATCTCCTAGTGATATACGAAGTCGTGTTTTTTAGCATCGTGACAACGTATTTTTAATATTCTCAAGATCAGTGATACGAAAGGTGACCTGATTGATGTATTCACTTTTCTCAGATGACAATTAGTATCTGGTCAGAGAATAAGGATGCGCGACAGTGCAGGTACCTCACGGCTGTTTCATCACATAGGGCGTTCCATATCACCGGGATGGGGGCTACCGGTGCCATCTTCGATATCGCTTTTAATTTCCTACCGAGGTAATGCAAGGGCTTTCGGAGGCATGCAGTATCATTGAATACTCTTCAATGCTTCTACGTAAGTTTGTAGATGATAGCATAATTTGAAGTGATTCCTCAAAGGTCACTAAAGAGGACCGAAGTCAAGAATAGTTGTCCTCGTAGCGATGACGCGGTAAATTGATAATCCGGAATCGCAACTCCACTGCACTTTTGTCTTCCGATGACACATTTCTTGCTTGTATCCAGCTATCGTTATGGCAAAGCAGATAGAATGTCCCTTGCTTCGCAATCTACAAAAGGAACTGGGCTTTGAACCAGAGCAATTGCCCCAAAATGACCATAGGGCACCTTATTTCTACTCAGATCTATCACCCGCCTGGAACGACATATACCACATAACAGAAAAAGAGCTACACGAGCACCGAAAGGCTAGACAGCAAGGGCTCGGGCCATTAAGGAATTTAGAAAGCTCACTTCCAAAGCTTGGCCGGAGTCATGTATGTAACTCATCTACGTCCACTTTGAAATCTTTTCCATGCATGAATTGTCTAACCCCAGAAGACATTTGTTGGTGATGAACAGAGCCTCGTCTTGAAACATGAGAGGGGCGTTGGATATGTTCAATACTCGTTACATCTCACGTTTTCTTTTGGACTGAATCTTCTCTTCGCATTGACCAGCACTGAGGCGCTTGAAGTTCAAATGTTGTCCAAGGTATCCGATCCCTTTATGCGTTTTCTGGAACATGCTTTTTTATTTACCGAGAAAATGAAGTTTCAAATCAATTGCTTGAAGGTAGAACATGGTCCATGTCTACGGCTCCCGCGGGAACTTCGGAACATGATCTATGATCATGCTATCCCTGAACGTCTGTGGAAAGCACTAGATCCATCTGTCCTTCTTGAGAAAATTTTTCCCGCCTCTATTGGAGATTTGAGTGGATTCTACTTTCCATTCAGCCCATCTATCAATACTCTCCACGCTGACAAGCAAATACGTCACGAGGCGCTCCCCTTGGTATACCAAAACATCTCTTTTCGCTGGTCAGATGTTGATGATTTTATCAAATTTGCGCTTTGGATCGGTACCATTGGCCGCAACAACGTCGAATCGTTAGAGCTATCATGGTTCAGTAGTAGTGGCTCGGAATACCACACGAGTGAGGGGGAGCCCGAGTTTCAGACGGCAATATGTATTCAATTACTGAAACAGTTCCGTCGAATCAAACATTTACGACTTAACTTCGAGGATGAACTGTTTAATGTGCCGACTTCAGACCCCAAATTCGATTTGAGAATCCTCCAACTTGGTTCTTCTATGAGTGGAATCAAGTCGGTTCAAATCTGTGGCTTTGATGAACCAAACTTGGATGAGAAGTTTGAATCTGCCAAGTGGTTGAAAACACAATTACAATCTATCCTCTAACGGTGATGTCAATGGTCCAGATCGTTGTCAGACGCACGTCCTTCATTCGGTCCATGGGGCCGGTCCCGCTTAGTACGGCAGACGATAACAGCCACCTGATCAAATGTAAATTATACCATTTTTAATTCGTCGGAGTGCTCACCGCCATATTCACCGCCTTTGGTGAATACACCCTCGAAACGAATTCAATTTTTCATTTAATTTCCTTACATCTCTTTTACGGTATTATGTCAGCATGACTCCTACCATCGGGCAAATTCAGTGGTGCATATATGTATGACTAGGAAGTTATTTTTTGTACGAATTTACTCGGTTTATAGAATCAAAGGTTTAATGAACTTGGTGTAGGTTCAATAAACTTGATAGTGTATGTATAAATGACCAGGAAGTCATTTCTCATACGAATTTACTCGGTTTATAGAACTAGAGGTTTAATAAATTTAATGTAGATTTAATGAACTTAGTGATATATATATATATGAATTTGATAGCGTAGGTTTAATAAATTCAGTGTAGGTTCAATGAATTTGACGCAGGTTCAATGAATTCGGTGGTGTATGTATGAATTCAGCGCAGGTTTAATGAATTCAGTGGTATATATATGAATAATCAGGAAGTTATTTCTTATACAAATTAAAGGTGAGCTTATTTCATCATTACAGTCCTGTTATGGCTGTATTTGGTGGTTTATTACACCAGCGTTTTTTTTGAAATGATCGACAGTCAAATTTACATTTGACCAGGTGGCGGTTATCGTCTGCCGTATATAGGGTATGCTTACGTCATTAGGCTATCCACTTTTCACTCGTCCCTCATACAAAGCCCGTTCATCATCACACCAACCGGATGTGACACCACTACTAAAGAATTAGCAATTCATGGGGATAATAAAAGTTAGAAACGATACAAGACCAATGAGCTCGGTATGCCAATTTCTCGCGTCCGTAACAGTTATGTGAAGAAGTAGATTGAAACGACCATTTCTAATACACTATTACTGGGTAGTTTGACTCTGTTGAAAGTCTGGACAAACAGTCTGCTCCAGAATTCTTCAAGGAAAGTGCAGTAATATATGGAGAGTTGTAATCATAGTCTTTACGTCAAAATAAGCTCGGGTTACTGTTTGGAACTCGCTTTACAAACCAAAATCATAGAATTACAATCCGTCGATTCATCGCTTATTTCACCTGACGTATGGATTTTGATCGCTTGACGGCAGTACCGAACGTGTACTAGCGACGAAGGTCAGACAGAGTAATGTGATTCGATATCCCATTTTTGCGATTATGCAATCTAGTCGTCATTGACCTTGTGACTAATGGCATGTCACGTAATTCTTATCAACTGGCTCCACGAGCTCATCGTCAAGGCATGTCATCACACCCGGACATCATGCGACCGATATAACAGCTTATTTCGAAAAACCGTTTTTAATACTGCTCAAGACCTTCATAACAAGGAGGGTAATAATCTGCCTCTGCATCTGGTAGGCCCATCATTCTTTTCTTGAACGGCCGATCCACTCGCCTGATCGGGAGTGATTGAAATTGGATCTACTTTTCACACCGACCTCATGATTCTGGGGCTACCACCAGATTAAGTCGTCTAAGCTATATTGAGTCTTCCACGCAATCGGCATCCTGTTTACACAATTGTCCGACTTGAAACCATGTTCTTTCAAAAGTCAGTCACGGGAAGGATGGGACTGAAAACCACAGCAAGCAATGTGAACGATGAAGCATCACGTCGGAACTCTCATATCGACAGGCTACTCAAAGCGGAAAAGGGAGCTGCGAGAAAGACTACCACTGTTCTTTTACTTGGTGCGTACGTGGACGACATCAAATTATGGGAAGGATTCCTAACCTAAGTCGAGCCTTAGGGCCGATCACTTGGGCAAATCGACTATTGTCAAGCAAATGCGGATGATTCCTTCAGACGGCTTCTCTGAACAGGAACAGCAGGGTGTTCTTCGCGCGCAGAGCCCAAGGGAAGGAGCTACTGAGGTCATCTTTACTCAGGCCGGCATAAATTGGCGCATGGTGGATCTATGTGGTCAAACTCTGGAAAGAAAGAAGTGGATGCCGTGCCTTGGAGACGTGGATTGTCTCGTATTCGTGGTCGCGCTATCTAGCTATGATCATTGTCTAGCTGAGGGTCACTGTACTGTGCGTGTCAAGTCAAGTATTGTGTATGACGTCGAGTTCTAATACGACAGCAGAACCAGATGCGGGAAGCAATGAAGCTCTTCGACTCCTCTGCCAACAGCGACCATTTCAAAAGCAAGCCTATTCTCCTTATCTTGGACAAACTGGACGTTTTCGAGGAGAAGCTCAACCACTCACCTATCTCTGGACACTTTCCAGACTTCCATGACTCCGCGGCCACATTTTGGGCTGCGGCGGAATATTTTGGCCACCTTTTCCAGCAAATCAATAGAACACAGGGCCGTGAGATCTGCGTTCATTATACGAATACGACTGACGATAATTTCCTCAAGTCGATGATGGCTTTGTTGTATCAAATAGTTATGGCACAAAGGCTTCGCTCCCATGGTGTTCTCGACATTCATTAGGTGGCGCGGCCGGCATAATCAAATTTCGCATGAAATCGACCTCCATGGTGTTATATCATCCAGAAGCGATAGCTATACTATCTTTCCAATAGATTACTTCAAGACCCAGATATAGATCACGGGCCGACGCTTCCTGCGGATTAGCGGTGACTGTTTGCCTCCAAACGAATACCGAATACAATTCTTCTACATATAGCTCCGGCTCCCCTCGCGGACTGTTCAGATACAAATATTTTAGCATAATATCTAGCCTGTCTCTAAATACCTACCTGTTAACCTAGGTATGGACTCGTATTTTGATCTAGTTGGCAGTTGGTTGTGCTTATCATGCTCGCGGGAAGCCCGCCCTCGTGGTAAATCGATGGCCAAAGGAAATTAGTTACGTGCGACGGCTGTATCATGTTTACACTGTTTGTACTTGTCAAGAAGTACATAAGCCCGTGAATTGCCCTTTAGCAGTATTTTTTTTATCTTCGTCAAAACGAGTTGCTAAGTTCATCGAGATGGACAACGAGATTCATCCTATTATTGAACTACCAACCATTGTCGATATTGAGGCGTCGACTGATGTCCTTAGTATACGAACCAACGCCATTAAAGTGGTTCGAGTAAAGGAACACTTCGTAGTCAAGATTGGGTATTTGATCTCGCCTTTGGAAGCTGAGAACATGAAATTTGTTGCAGCCAACAGCAAGGTTCCTGTGCTAAAGGTTCACGCCAACTTTGTCGACCTAGAGACCCAGAAAAGATATGTCGTTATGGATTTCGTCTCTGGTATAGACTTGCAAAAGTTATTGTTATTGTTTATCCCAATCGAGAAAACGACGGTTAGTAAGAGGATTAAACAGGCGATTAATGAACTGCGAATATTACCATCACCTGACTACTTTGGGAATTTGAATGGGACGCCTTACATCGACGGTGTTCTTTCAACTCTTGATAACGACCTAATCATTTCTGGGCTATTCAAGGATCAGAAGCAGATGAATCAAGGAATACTGGAGAGATTGGGCTAAACGCAGTCACCGCACTACATTCGATTGTTGAAAGAAATGATCAATTGTATCCTCAAGAACTATTGAATTGTCTTTACTCATGAAGACCTGCAATCAAAGAACATAATTGTGGAGCGAATAGGGGTTTGCAATGATGGAGACGCAGACTTCAAAGTCACTCTCATTGACTGGAATTTGTCAGGATGGTACCCCGAGTTTTGGGGTTTTTGTAATTTAATATTGTACTGCCAAATGAAACCGGATTGGCTTGAGCTTATCCCAGACATATTTGACCAATACCCGATAGAATACCTAATGATGTAAGTCGTCTACTCGTCGGTTTTTTATTGATGGTAGATTTGGGAAAATATAAAATATTCTCTATATTTACAATTTCTTGTACTCGGGATTAATCCTACGACCCCCTTATTTGTCACCCCAATCAGAGAGCAGAAATCGATTTTAATATAGAAATGACGCATTCGATACGAGAACACGAGGAAAGAAGATAAGTAACGGAATTGAGCTCAGACTGTTGTGACCCAGAGTCGTGATATGTTGGAAGATATGTTTAGTTGTAGAATGAATAACTTATACAAAGAACCAGTACTCGAGCTTTCGGATTTATTCTGTTAGAGGTTGTACCGTGATAAGTGGGCTTGACGAACTTACTTTATTTTACCGCTTTAAGATGCCCTTTTCAAATGCCAATTTCTGTGTGTCTCGCAACTAGTCTTTATAACGATAAAGTGGTGTACCGGGATACAATTGCTTGTCCTTGAGCGTTAACTGGGCCCGAGGCGCCTCGACTGCTCTGCAGCACTCCGTCTCGAATCTGGTTAAATCTGCCTGCGCAATAGATCCAATCACTTTCTTTGTATCTGGGATATAAGACGCCGAGAACTTAGGGTTAAAGGAACCTCTTGGGTCGTATTTTATACCTTGAAGTAAATTTCCAGTGACGTGATAGAGACGTCCTCCTTCAGACGTTCGCGGGGTAGTGGGGTTGGTTTAATGTAAATGGCTCTATGGTTAGGCGCACCAAGATATTCGGCTGTGTAAACACTGAAAGACATATTTAAAGAGGTTTGAGATGTTGTGGTAACAAAATTGGCTATCGAGGTCTTGCTGATGAGGGCTGCTACGTCCGTACAAGTCTCTTTACTTATATGTTGAACAGAAAAACTAAGGACTTCATTGTGGCTAAGACCATTCTTATCGAGATATTGCATGTGTCGGCGTGCATAGAAGGTACCGCGCGCCAAAATCTACGGTTGGCCCTGATTGGCGTACACATCAAACTTTTGTGCGCAGGTTGCATTACACGGCGAGACGCCCATCACGAACCAGATGCTAATTTTTCTTTATTTCTATTGTCTATTTTTGTGCGAGTCTGGCAGTGTTAGTTCTCACAGTCCTTGCCCTTTATGCGCATGTCAAACGTGAAGGAAGAGTGTTTTACTTGTTCGAGGAAATCATATTGTTTAATTATTTAATTAAATTGAGCACCACTGGGCAGAAAAGGAAGGATGGTGTTTATTAGATGTTATTGGCTTGTTTGTCTCCACTCGCTCTGATGTCCGTGCATTCCCCAATACCTTGACCTCCCCAAGTCTACCAGCGACTGTTCTCAGCCGATTTCCTGATACTGTAAGTTACTTGGACGTCACTACGCACCCGTTTTTGCCATGTTCCCCCGGCAACCGATATTCAGTCATACCACTCTGTAGAGAAAGGACTAGCCAAGGTGTACAGTATGAATCTCCTATCCTGACAGTCTGGTTCTATAGTTGCTCAGCGTTTTTTTTCGCGCGCATCATCTCCTGCTGCCCTTTTTTCTTTTCACCGCATGTGACCGACCACTTTGATGACTTGCTCAAACCACCACAAATGGCTGTTTCTCAACAATCCTCGGACCACCGATCGCCTCAAATGCAAGTCGAGATTAAACCTCCCTTTTCCAAGAATTCAGCATCAGCGGCGAAGGATTTCATGTAGATCCGGCGGCAGCCAATCGTCCGACCCACTGTGTGAGTTGACTCGCTTGAATACTGCATTGTCAGCTCAAGGGCTGGATGGGAAGTTCCGCGCAGTTGAAGGTCCGCTGTGCCTGTTTTATTGGTTATAAAATTATGATTGACTCGGCAAAAATTTACCTACGAGGGACTGGAGCAATTTGTGATGTGCTTTCAAGGTGCTAGGAAGGGGTAGACTCGTGGCTTCTGCATAGGATTGTCAATTTGCACCGAAACCAAAAGCCACCCAAATGAAGAATTAGAAAAAGAAAAACAAGAAAAAGCAAGCTGAGTGAATTCCTTGCACGGCCCCTCGTTTCAAATTGTCGAATGCTTATATTGTATTCTCTCTAATGATAGACTCATGAAATCCTTGACGCTGGAAAGAAATCTATCAGATCAAATGTGAACCCCCAGAAATCAATAATTGAGAAATGGAGGATGCGCTTGCAGGGCGCCTTGAGGCCGTTGACATTTATTTTGAACGGCCTTGCTTGCCATGAAGAATGCACTGTCACTTCGAGACTAAAGTGATTACGGGTGTTATGTATGAAGATTCATGTCATTTCAACCTCTACGACCATAATTCTAAGCGCAGTGACTGGAACCATGAAGCCTCGGAGACAAAGGGCGAAAGGATACGGTCAATCCAAAGGGACCAATCGTCATCCCATCGCAAAGCACAGACAGCTAAGCAATATTCCCAATACCCTGGATACCATCCAGACTTTTCCCAATCAATTATCACGAGGCGCGAACATTCTTGATCTTGATGAGATTTCTCGCGGAGAATGATGTTTTTCCTTTGCAAATCACCGTGGGTGAATGTCGCTTTATGGCCCTTGAAAATAAAAGGAAAGCATCTTCGAAGATATTCTGCTCTGTAGAGTGGGCCTCCGTTGTAGGTGTACTTTCGCAACATTGCTTCGTTGAGGTCGTCTTCAGAGTAAAAAGGACCATTCACCAACGGATCTGGCTCGTGTGTCCAAAATATCTCATCCAGAAGTCGTCTTTGGTCGAAACTGCCGAAGTAGTTTGGGGATGGAAGCTGGCGCAAGTCGTCAAAGTATCTCCGCAGGTGTTTCAGTATTTCCTCTTTCTCCGGTTTTGTAAGTTGTGGCCATGCTGAAAGAAGTGTTTGGCCGAGTATGCGCTCCATGACAATGAAATTTTTGCCTGTCTCTGGGTCTGAATAAAGGGCGAAGACCCGCGGGACGGAGATGGTTGTTTTCTGCCGAACAAATAACATATTTTCCCCTTCAATGAGATTGACACCCAGTCCAAATTTAACAACATAATGCTGGCCTACTCCGACAATTCTTCGTCCTCCATATTCCATGGAAATGTCCGGGGCGTTCTCTATTTCGGTACCGGTGGGTAGTGGACAAGGCAAGTCGGTTGCATAGAACGGAACTTCGAATGATTTCTTCATCATCATTAACGGTCATTTGGTAGACCGAGGGGTAGATTGGAGGGTAGGGAGGTGGCAACGAAGGGAGAGTAGCAGATGGTTTTTATTCATAATCAGTGATGCAAACACGTGACATATATATGTTTGTTTGTCTTCATCACGTGGTCAGCGCCTGCCAAGGTCATGAGACTAAAGTATGATTTGAGTTCGGGACTATAATAGTGCGGATCCGAGAGATGCAGTATGTGGTGGTACTAGGATAAGTTATTCAGGTTATTACATGGTACTTGAGATAAAGTTTACTTCTTGAGTCCGAGGGCAAAATAAAGGGGCCTCTCATGCGCTGATTTAGCAATTGATGTATTGGGAAGGAAGCAGTTGGTGTTGAATAAGACTAATGACGCCAGTAAGATCCTTGTCTACTTTGAACAACACATTTTTTTCCACTGTATTTATGGGCAATACACGGCTGTGGGAAATAGGTGACACTTCGCATTAAGTTGCGCACAGTACCGAGGCTGAGATCTTGGCCACAATGGAAAGCTATACTTGATTATGGACCAGATATTGAGGCCTCCAGATGATTGAATTCAACACTAGCTGCTTGCAAATTTAGATACAGAAGATCTTCCAACCTTAATTGATCCTGATCCATACTCAGTCGCTCCAACATCGTGCCTGGATCTATTTCTTAAGGATCCCCGCAGTGACCAATGCATTTACAGCTTCCTGGGTCCATTCCTGGCAGCGACGAAGCGGTTCCTTTGGATAGAGTCTTCGAGCCCCCTCGAATTGCTTTTTGGGCGGAGGGATGCTTTCGCAAGTCGGTAGGATGCGGGCAAAATCAGCTGCGGCCACCCTCCCAATGAATTCTTTGCTTTGATAGGTCCCTGACTCTTCGGGCTTTTTTGCAGGCTTATCGTTATGTTTCATTCCGTTCTGTATGTCGCCGGTGACCTGGAACAAATGACCAGACTGGTCGTTGTTCATCTCGACGAAAATGGCGTGATGATCCCGGGGAAGGCCAGCATAAGAAACTCGATAGACATTGTACGACATATTGAAAGCGATCAATGGAAGGTGAACGCTGGGATCTTCAGAATTTTGTTACGGACGCAGTATCTCTCAATAGTACTTACTTTGATGCGTAAGGTTGGTTGAAACAATACTATAAACTGGAGGATGTAGATGAGACTGAAAACGGTGATCACTATCCTAGTATTTATATGTGCCCTCCAGATCAAACCTTCGCCCGAAAGAAGCCGCCAGAAGAGAACGGTGATTCTCATTGAGATGCCAAGTTTGATATTGCATATGTTGGCGTGCATAAAAGGTACCGCGCGCCAAAATCCACGGTTGACAATGATTGGCGTGCACATCAAACTTTTGATCGCAGGTTACATTACACGGCGTGACGCCCATCACGAACCAAGTGCCAATTTTTCTTTATTGCTTTTGTCTATTTTTGTGCAAGTTTTCTCAAAGTTCTTTGTCTCTCGGACATTGATAGCTGCTAGGAAGCATCGATTTCTTGGCTTTTGCCAAGTAATCTAATTAAGGGGTACAATCATAGTTCACGGATAAAAAGAGTTCTAGTAACTCCCTTCGTCATTCTCGGCCTCTTAATCAAAAATTCACCCGCCTCGACGTAATTATACATGGAACTTCGGCAGTACATATGTCAGGTGAATTTTCCGTAGAGTGAATAGATCAATTTGGCTCTCCGGCGGTAATTGGCTCTCGTAAATGAGATACTGATGACCACAAAATGTCTTTCGGGCGCGTTACATAGATACGGGAGCAAGTAATGTTAGTGCCATAAATGAAAACAAAAGAACAAGCGAGAATGCTGCCAGCGGAAAGAAACAGTCATATGTTTTGCGTATGAGGTGTACTACAGAATTTTGCCGTTCGTTGAAAGTGATATGCCAGAAAACTTTAATTGGTACATAGCTAAGAAATATGTCTCTAGAATATATCCAAATCTCTCGAGCGTCTGAAACGCGCTAACTTAGAAAGTGCTTGGGAGTTAAGGTAGCGGTTACAGTACCAAAACAAGTGCGTACTAGGTGAGGAAATAATTGCTACTCATCATGTATCCTCTCCAGACACGTCAATGATTCAGCCTTTGCTACAAAGAAAAATAAAGAACCACAATATATTTGTCCATCTTGCATGCGTCTCCGTACAATGAACTTCTGGAGCTGAAGACTTCACATAGCTCAAGTATGTCATTATTACTGCCTCGCTTTTCCGACTTGGGCTCCTGTCATGTGATGTTGGGCCGCAGCAGCCCCGCCTATTCCTCCGTCGGACGCAATGTCGACAAGACCCCTCGCTTCCCCAATCATTTCTCTCTTCGGTCGGTTAGTAACAAACGAAGTCGAGTGAAACCACCAAGCTGAATTTTTGACAGTCAACTATTGGGCTTTGTGAAGAAATGGCGGGTGAGCCTCTGTGGGAAAGCGCGAAAATGATTTTGTCAAATATGAGGGGTCTTATCCAGAGCGGAAGCATGGAGCGGATCAAAGAGAGTGAAATGGGCTGGCAATACCGACTCTTGGAGGAATGCATCGCGATGAAAGCGGATATAGAAGCTCGGGGTTATAAAGTTTGTATTTTCTCCCCACAGCCATTCTGTACCATTTATCTTACAATCCTCATCCCTAGGTACTTGATTGCACGGTTTTTCACTTCGCATTGGCCGCTAGGCTTGAGAACCCCACGAAACGGCTGTGGCTCGCGCCCATACAAGGAAAATCAAACTTGACACCTGCGGAAACCTTACTGCCGGGCTCATACTGGGACATTACGGACTCCGATCGAGTTCTCACGCCAGATCGCTTCACCGGCTCAGACATCCTCATAGTAACACTTGACGTGCGTGGGAAAAATTAGATGCACTTATTTGTCAGAACACGATTAGTTGGTGGAAAGCAAATTGTAATCTGTACAACAATTATATAATTATGATCATATCTAGCTCTCCAATTTCAAAATACGGAAAGCATAGGGCGTTGGCGATATGGGAAATTACTGTCATTGTTACGGAGGCCCTCAGATTGGTCTTCGTTCTGGGTAGTCGATGAAACAGTTCCATAGCTGGGAATGAAGACTGGAGGGTGACCAGCATCCAGCTGGGCGCAGAGATCCATATCCACGGTCTCGTCATGGCTGACCGACGGGATCGTCCCGTAGTCAAATTGATTGAAGACTGGAGGGTGACCAGCATCCAGCTGGGCGCAGAGATCCATATCCACGGTCTCGTCATGGCTGACCGACGGGATCGTCCCGTAGTCAAATTGATTGAAGACTGGAGGGATGCGACCAGGGCCAAACTGGGCGCAGAGATCCATATCCACGGTCTCATCTTGGCTGAGTGGCCGGATGGTTCCAAAGTCACATTGATTGAAATTTGGTGGAGCTTGATCCACGTCATATCGAGTGCGGAGTTCCAAGACTGCACTTTCGTGCTCAAAAACTGGTTGTATCTGTCTTGTCAGATATGCAGCCGCTTCTATACTGTTGCTCCTGGCAGAGCTCATATCTGTTTCGGTATTTCTCGAGTGAGTCAGAGGTCGAGGCTCCGAATCCTGATTGATCAATTCAGAGATAGCCAGCGGAACGCTTCTTTCCCGCGGCGCTTGACTGGTTGATATTGTATCGTGTTCAATCAGACGTTGTCGTCTATCATGTGAATATGGGTCTAGCTGGTGAAGATTGAAGCCATTTCTTGATATTGTGAGCCCCGGGTTGAGATAACCGCGCATTTGCTCATGGTTTCGTGGATTACCCAATGCTGTGAGTTGAGTTGGTATTGTATGGGGCAAAATTCCGCTAATTTCACACCCCAAAGTTCCTTGGAACTTTTGCCACATAGTGTGCCTTGCTACATTGAAATTAGAGGTGCTATTATGAATGTGTGACAAACTTACCATCATATCGAATTTGACAGGCAGTCAACCATGAAGATTTGTCCTTTGCCAGATTATGCCAGGCACCAGTCTCTTGAAGCAGACGTTTCAGAGCCGCGAAACTTCCATATTTGACTTCTCGAAACAAAGTGAACAATAATATCAGAATGGCTGAAACTCCAACGTGACCATATATCCGTTCGAAAACCAGCAAACGAATGCCGTCTCTAATACCATGAGATGCCGATTCTTTGTTTCGGAAGGGAACAGAGTTTTGTGCTAGGAACCTGTTGATGAGCCCGATGTTATCGTCAATTGCCTTCGGATCTAGAGAACGCCTCGATACTCGTGATGTTCCGAAGACTTCACGTTCCCATTCATCAAACTCCATTGCGAGGGATCTTTGTCCAAGTCCGCGTCGAAAACACGCATCCAGTGAGCAGCCTCGGTTGCAAAGTCGGATATCGACCACACGAGGATCCTCTTGGACCCAATCGTCACCGTTCTGCGCAAGTGGATCGCTTTGAGATGATAAATACTTGAAAACTTTCTCAGATCGACGGGCACCATGAAGCGCACCCATAAGCCTTTGAACATCTAAGGCTTCCGATGCTTCCTCGGTCGTGTCATTATTTTCGCCGGTCTCTTCCACTGACGAATGGGTAGCGCATGATGTCCCACTGCAAGCAAATGATCCCGAGCAAGTAATGGGAGTTGCTGGTGTAGGCTGCTGGGAAAAATGTTGAAGACTGGTTTCCGATCGTGAACTCTCGCTCGGAATAGTGTCTAATTTTTTCTCTATAATCCGCAAGGTTTGTTCCAACGTGGATCGGTATGGTATAAGGTCTTGAGTGCTAATTGTATCCAGTCTTGACAAAATTTGAATCGCCTCAACAATCGCAGATAGGTTGATCATTGTTGGAAAAAAGTTGAAGAATGGAGAATGTCACGACCGAGAAGAATGATCAAGACTGAAACGGCGGGCAATGTTCACCGCTCACGAACTCTCGAATGCGGCTAGTATTGGCGTATGGGATCCCTGCTAGTGCGCCCCAAACCACATTTCGGGCGCACTAAAAGGAGATCTGCTGATTGTGGCGCCTTTACCCCTCACTCAGCTCTTCGGCTGTCTAACTGAATTCTGTTGAACAAAACGAATTTTGAAATCTTGGTCCCTTGGCTGCAGCTGAGCTGTTCATTAGAAAGTGTTTTCTTTTCTTCTTTTTTTCTACACTCTGGTAGGGGACGTGGTTGGACATTATGTGATTATCAGTTCTCCCCCGCTCGGAGACTCGAATGCGATTTTGACATGGTGACATCTCAACAAGAGATGTCTGCGTATCATGACATAAAGAGGCGTCTGCTTCTATGGCCGATCGCTCCTTCCGATCTTTTTTGCGAATTTGCGACAGCGAGCTATGATCTGCTTCAGCCTACAGAGAGTCTGTTTTGTGGTTTCAACCTGCATTTCCTGCCCGTTCTTCCCAGACAGCCAACGTGAGACAATTCTGATTGGGTGCCCAGGCCCTAATCGAAGTACTATGCATGAATTTGCGAAAGACACCGTACCTATGTCGAAAGAACAGCCTATCTCTTCTGCTGGTTTTACCAAACATGCAGCGCCGATTCGTTTGCACGTGGGTCACCCTTTCCTTCTCATTCACATCAATTTCTCATAATAAAAGACTGTGCGGATTTGGTTTTCCCCCAATGAAGTTCAACTTATGGAAGACATCAAAAGAAAGGGCCTCGACGATGTGGTTGTTGATGCCGTTCCTCTTCAAGAGCTTGGCGCTCAGCGCCAAGCCGAGGACGACCATGGCAATAAGACGGGTGCATTCCAAGTGGACCTTGCGGTACTTGAGGCTGGTATCACACGGGTTTTAGGGAAATATGGTATCATAAAATTCGTTCCTCTGAGCAACGATGATCCAATTGTTTTGCAACAACCGACAGAAGACCTCGACACAAAGAAAGCTCTTTGCTACCAGCGACTGCATTCACTATACTCGCAGGAATATTTGAAAAGGCAACACCTCGCAGAAACTTTAGGATTCGAGATGCAGGAGCTTTGGAGAGACTGGTACGATGAATCTCTGAAAAACATTGGCAACAACTTGAAAAAACGCGGTTACTGTTGATTGTAGTATACATGTTTTGTACTTCCATTGATCGATAGACAGAGTTCAGTTCAGGGCAAGCAAAAAGTCAAAGTTCGGAGTGGCCGTGTCACACATAATGCTTTGGTAGCGGCCTCCAATTATTCTTCTCACTTCATTATCGTGAGGCTGTCTTAAGAAAGTCATCAAGCCCTGCGACGCTTGAGAAGATGAAGCATCAAAATGCCAGGTTATCAGCGCTAGCATTAGAACAGTACCATAACTGAGATCGCGCAACGCTTTCCCCATCAAGGCGCAAAAGTCGTTATCAAAGGGAAGTTTCACATCATCCAGTGACGATTGCCTGAATCTACTGTTTTTGAGAGCCTGACAAATGTCTAGCAATTTTCTAGCATCCTGGCTTAGGCGTTGCGATGGGTTCCATTTCCAGAATGGGAGGAAATCGATTCGCAAAATGAGTAGTTCCTTCAAAGCAATTTCTGCCGGCCCGTATAGGAATTGGATAGGAATCGGGATAGGCTTCTGGTGTTAACAGATCAACGTCGCCAGCGGTATGTGGATACTCACCATGATTCAATCTTTGGTTTGATGATTAGATGCAATCAATGGTACCTTGAACTGCAGAAATAAGCCCATTTATAATCTGCTGGGTTGAGAGCTTTTTATCTCTGTTGACAACTTTCACGATATATTTGTCTACACGATTCCAATCGACCTCATGCATTGTCTTCCTTCTGTATCGCTCCAGTCTCTTTTTCCAAATTGGTTACAAAAGTTTTGGATATCAGAAGGAGAGCAAAGTAGAGAAGGGCAGGAACAAATTATCTCCAATGCTGCCAGCCCGTATACCCGAACCGAACCTGCGGCATATCAGCTTCAAGATACCGAAGTCAAAAAGCTTCGATCAATTTATACCTCAAACCAAAAGAAGAAGAAAAGAGTATCGCGTGTCAGTTCATTCAAGGGCAATTCTAGTGAGTCTTTGCCCCAAGCACAAATCTTTTGATGTTTTTTCTCACCCTTCAACCGTTAGCAAACCGGCCTCAAAACGTCTCTATCAAATCAGACGACAGCACGGATCACACAATCATTGTGCTCCCTCATATTCCTCCAAATATTCAACTTATCAAAGGCAGAATTATTGACGTGGGAGCGAGGAATGTCGATTATTTCGATCGGTCCTCCCCTACATTTGACAAGGCTGCTTTGAACAAGGTGTCAATTATTAGTCGGGCAGATGGGCCTTCAGAAGGCTTCTTACTAGCTCCCTTCAATTCTCAAGTTCATTAATTTCTGATGGCCAAGGCTTCTAGATATTTTAGTGAAGGGGGTTTACTAGCTTTGCACTGCATGTCGGCCCACACGACTTGGGATTTTGCTATATTGTTTGTCCAAACAGAATAAGTTTTTTTTTCTGAAAAAGAAAGTAGATCATGGACCCTTTGACATAACTTGATATACTTGCGTTTCGCAGTATGTCTTTCTACATCCCCCGGTCCTTCTTGGCAAGTCAATTTTATTCCAAAGTGGAGAAAAGAGTAGCAGCCGACCAATGACATTATTCTTGCACACAAGTTTTTACCAGTCACCCTCTGGCGTTGCAATTTTATCATAACCAATTTTAGGCAATATGAAGGAGTAAATATCGATGGATCGTGAATATATGAAAATGATTCGCTAGAACTCTGCGCTACAAAACAAACCGCGTCTGAGGTGTGACTATGATCTTTTTTAACGGTAGATTACTTCAAGTGAGGTGAAAAATAGCCCAGCGAGATCGGGGAGTTGTAAAGTAGAAGTAAATTCTCTATGTGTTCTTTATCCTTCTTTTATTTAAAGCAATCTCATAGTGGCCCTTTGGTAAGTTTGCTATAAGAAGGCGTCGCCGCTTCCCCCGTTTCAACTTCCTTGCATTCCTGTTTACAGTACCCAAAGACAAAAGACAACAGTAGATACAGGGCCTGTCGCATCTTTTGTAGCATATCTATGGGCCAAACATGTTGGACTGCCTAGCACCTTCAACATTGATGAGTGTTGGAATATCGATAAAAAATAATTTGGTTGTTTGTGTACTCACAATTGCTTTGCACCCTAGGCTAAAGCTGCTATCCAAAGCAAGGGAGCTTTGTTCTCATCATCGTTGAAAACATCAAGATATTCGTCACGGGTGTTGGGCTTGGGAGGATTTGGAGGTGCGCCAGGACAGTTGTGGGTTCCACCAGCAGTCTTAATCCACGCCTGGCAGACAGAGCATCGTTGAGCCATGCTGATTTGAGGTAAAATAATGTTTTGATTGAGATATTGGCCGGTTCTTAGGAATGCAGATGATGAAAAGAGGGGTATGTACTAAATGGCGTGCCTACTTGCTCCTTTATATATGTAGTTCCTGGTTCGTTTGCCTTAGGCTACCACCTGCTGAATAATCTAAGAGAAGACACCTCTAAAAGGAGCGCCAAACACCTTCGCGTTTGGGCCTCATGGTCCAGGGACTTGACCTAATTGAAACTTACACCGCCGACTCTTGGTAACTCTTCGGGCAGACATCTAGGCTCACAGACCGTTGTCGGCATCCATCATTGGTAGGTATTAATTACCTTCCCGACTGTCACCTGGAAATACGACTTACCACTCATTCTGCCTCCATCATGAATCCCTACACGACGGACCCAAATGAAATCCCCCCTTCTGATCTATATGCGGACCTGCCGCTTTACGGTCGGTACCGTCCTAAACCAGATGACTTCCATATCGATATCCGACATGTCAACTCTGAATCCACAGACTCATTGAAATACTGGGCTTCAGTGGTTGACCTTTGCAACGAATCCGTCAGAATATATCCGGCTGATGAGGGCGGTCGGGACGTCTTCGCCGTTGGCAGCGTCATCATCAAGTCGGGCCATCTCCATCCGCAGGGGATCGCCCATTTCACGGATATCCGCTACTCGTATGCCGATGAAAATGAAGTCCAGGCTGTGATTCTCGCAAGGAAAGCTTTGAAAAATGTCAAAGTGCCCGAGATATACTTTGCTGGCAAGGTATGCTCCCGCTACTCAACTACGTCTCTGCCTCACTTACACATTTTCAGGTTTATGGTCGCCAAGTGTTGGTCCAGGAACGGCTCCCAGGCGTTGCATTAGCGGTAGCATGGCCCTACCTCTCCCAACGCCAAATGGATTCCTTTAAACAGCAAGCACAGGAGATACTTCGACAACTGCACTCTATCAAGCCTTCCGATGGACGTCAGGTTCGTTCCCATGTCGTGCCTGATCCCAAAGTCCGCTCCAATGGTCGTATACAACCATTGGAAGGCGATATCCTCTTCTCAGAGACCAATACCGATTCAGACATGAGCTTCATGCATAACGATTTTACAGATTCCAACTGTATAGTTGACGATGACAAGATCGTTGGGCTCATTGATTGGGAAATGGCTGGCTTCTTTGGCTGGAAGACGGCAGGGAAAGTCCATCGTATGGTAAGGCCACATGATAATTCTTTCTGGAAGGATCTGTATGAGCAGGGTATGCCTTAATTTTGACGGGCAGCTCAGGTTCTAGGCTACGGTGATATTGAAGAAAAGAGTACTTTGTCGACAAGCTTTTTCTGGCCCGAATTGTGTACATCCAGCAAGATAGCAAAGAAATACTTGGCCAAGAAGTCTGTAAGATAAGCCAGTACTACAACAGAAACGGGGATACGGTGATAAATCCCCCATGAAAAACAAATCGATGTTTGATTGCCTGAAAAAGCTAGTCTTGGCGGCCGAAACTGCTTCTCCCTCTTTACTGTAAAGCAAAACCTCCTAAGATAGATTCGATGCTAGTGATGCTAGGTAATTCTAGGTAATGCGATGTGATGCGAAGAGCGGTGGGTGAAAAGGTTGGGGATGCTGTTCCTCAGCCAGTGCATATTAATAAACATAATCAGTCCTGCGTCAACCAGGCTCCAAAATAGTTGTAGTTGCCGGTAGGGTCGACGGCGGGAGATGATTTAGGCTAGTCTTGCCGCAGCACGGCGCAATACTAATTTGCAACCAAGCAGGCATTAGTCACGAAGAGTATCAGAATCTTGGAAGCCAAAGCCAACGATGGTGAATTGGTTTACCTGGCCCCCCTTTTTTTTGGCGAGTCTTGTTCGTTGACGGACTTGAAGTCTGCGATAAACATGGAACTTAGCATACCGCTCAGCCGCAATGGCCGGCTCTAATGAGTGGTCTCCATTTGCTAAATCTCTGACCATCCGGGTTTGGGATTGCCACCTGCACGTTTGTTCAACAGTCCGATAATTGATGAATGTGTAAGAAGGAACGTCAATCAGCTTGACGAGATCCACAAGTACAAACGTAAGACCGCTGTTGCCGCTGTTGTTATTGCTAAGAAATCATTCTGACAAAGCAATGATAAGTCCTAGGAACAAAGCCAATTAGAAGGAAGAAGTGAGAGATTGGCTTATAACCGCGGAAATCGGGCTGTGGGTTTGATATTATGACAAATGCGGCATTTGTGAGTTGCACCACTTTCATGCGTATTCGCAAAACGAACAGTGCTTGGATTTTGGGGAGATGTATCTGGTATACTATTGATCCGACAGCGCGCAGAGCGAGTCCATTGGGTGAACATGGGCCGCCCCACAAGGCATTGTGACATCCTCCATTGAAAAGTTATTTCACAAAATTATAGGTGGAGGTGGATAACCAATTAAGGCCCGTGCGCAGCTGTGTCAGCAGGTACGCCCGGCCCCTGGGCAAATTAAACAGCTTCCTGGTATAGGTCGCCGATAGGCTGCTATCAAATTTTCGCAGGTGACCGCCTTTGGTACATCTTTTCCACTTCCGTTTCCACTGAGCACGAATGGTGTCTCGAATGAGCGCCCTCTTCCTTGTCAGCAGCGGGCGGAAGGGGTGTTTTTCCCGGGCTTGCCGCGTCCTTGGCCAGCCGATCTGCTGCATCGTTCCCTGGGTTGTCGCAGTTTCCAGGCACACATTGGAGACTAAATGCAATCCCCTTTGCTTGAAACTCTCTGGCTGCTTGGAGGATGGCGTGGACAATGCGCTGTCCTGATTTGTTACCTGGGTTCTGGATTGCTTGCAAGGCTGATCTGCTGTCGCAGAGGATCGTTGCCCTTGCTATTCCATTATGCTCCGCTCTTGGCCGCTAATAGCTGATCTTGAACACTGTACTGACCACGTAGAAAATGTCTATCAGCTCTGCTACGTGGACCGGCCACCGGTCCATCGGTCCCACCTGGACCTGTTAGGCTTCGATAACCTGCAGGTTATTGTCGTTTGCCACGGCGGTAGCGGTCGTGGATCGATGGTCTCTAGTTCATCTAGTCTTTCTAGGGTCATGGATTTAAGGACTTCCGCCAGTGGAAAATGAGTGTACGACCCGATATTGTTCCTCCGTTTCTGGGCTTGTCGTAGTGCATCCCAGATCGGATGATCGCGCGATAGAGTGCGGAGGCTTGTAATGGTGTTCTGTGCTCGGTGACGGAGGCGGAGATGCGTTGGCAGAGTGTGTGCCTCTACTTCCAGAGTCGTGGTGGCCACTGTCCTGAAAGTCGACAAGATGCGAATCAATGCGGTTCTTTGGACTATGTTTAAGTGTCGTAGGTGGGTCTTGTCCCGTAAAGGGTCGTGCCAGACTGTCGACGTGTAGTCTATGGTTGTCTCTTGAAAGCTTTCGAAGACAGATAGATGGCCTGGAAGGTCTTGATCGAGTGACTGGCATCAGTGTGAGGGCCTGGCTTTGCGACTGAAAGAGAGGAAAAGTGCGGGTGCTTTTAGGAAAAGGCGCCGCAGCTTACTTGTCGCCAAATTTCTACGAAGTGTTTGGTGGAAAATGTGATCTAAAGGAAACTGTACTGGAGGCTTTAATCCGAGAGCTCTGGAAGAGACCAAATTGGAAATTTTGGTAATACATAGTGAGGTGGCGGAGGTCGATGTCATTTATACCGCGAAAAGCAAGCTACGGATTGTCAAATTCACTTCCTGGTTTCAGCCAAACCGAAAGGTGTATCGTTTTGCGGCAGAGGATTTGGCATCGAATTGGAAACCAAAAAGCATCAAAGTTTCATTTGGACCGTGGGCAAGCTTGCTGCACTGCGGGCTCTGCCGCTCAGGGGAGACTCTAAACCCAATTTTTGAGCGGGCAGTTGCAATGTTCCGAAGGAAGGTGCCTTATCCAAGTTGGCAAAAGTATTGCCTTTTTGAGAAAATGTTTTGCATGATAAGGTATGACCGGGTTTGATCGGTGGAGAATTGATGCGATTTCTGAGTAGCTTGCCTTTAAGAAACAGAGACTGGGGCTTTTCCGTTGCTGACGTATTCGCCGTGTGGTCGGGATACCTTTTAGTTGAAGCAGATTCATTCTGATTGTACAATCAATGCTTTATCTCAAGACGAAATTATAATAAACGGAACAAGTAAATAACGGTTGAATATAAAACGATTTTATCATAGCAAGACCCAAGTTCTATCTTGGTCATTGAAAATAAATTCAGGCTTTGGAAGGTTTTTCTGTTCCTGATCCACAATTCAGTCCCTGGCCAGGCTCAACGGCCTCCATCACACTAGCCAAGCTGTCGCAAAATCTAGCCATCAAAATATCTTTGTGGGTGAGGCCAAGGGGGCGATGTGTTGTCCAGTGGACATACACAGTGCCGATACGCTTCGCACTTTAGCTATACATGTACCTATATGTTTTTTTGGCAAGATGATGAGAGAGTACTTACCAGAGTCATAGTGGGATGATGCTTCTTCGCCGAGCTTTCGGATGCGATCGTACTCGTGAATGTCTACCACGTCTTTTTAGTTATCACAGTAGATTTCCCATTTTTTGAAACTCAATTTGAGCTTACCGCTGCCTTGAAGTAGCTTTTAAAACCGAAAGTCTTGGAAACTCCCGTTCTCTGGTCGTCTAGCACCCATCCTTGCTGTCGCAGCACCTCTGTATCGGGTTCGAGTTGCTTAAGGTCTTCACCCTCGGCAAAGAGTGGAGTGTTGGACGCCATGGGGGGTAAGATGGATTTCGGGAATCAGCGGGGTTGGGGCACATATATGATAAACAAAGGCGCACGTGACACACTAACGCAATCTGTGTGGTGGGCAGGGCATTGACTACGCATTTGTTACATAGCAATGCCGCAGTGCGCCAAGAAGAGATCGACAAATCCAGGACAATTCAAACCTAACTCATTCAACCTTTTTTGAAGCGTCACCAGCACGTCATCTTCTTGTTCTACGGGAAAGATAGCTAGTTGCAAAATTCGCATCTCAAGTCACCAATATACTACTATTGCGCGAACTTTGAATTTTTAAACAATAAGGCAGGTTCTATTAAAACACCACAGATCGAACAGCTATGTAGAACGCGATGTCACTATATCCGGGACAATAAACCGGTATGTCTCAGAAGAATCTAGAAAATCGGCATATTCCTGCTGAAGTTTGTAGAAATCACTAGTTTCCGTCCACGACGGCCGCTCAGACCTGATACTTGCCAATAAATCCGGTAATACCTTTGGGGAACTAAGTGTATCCAGTAGTTAAGGTCTTCGCGTGCGAGGACAGTACAGCTAATGTCGAAGGCCTTCTTGGCATCTGCGCTCCAGGACGGCGGGGCAACACCTGGATCACGTTTTGTCGACAAGGAAGATGCCAATTGAAGGAGTGCGAGGGACATAAACATCTGACCGAGGCCGAAGTAGAAACCCTCTGGTTCAATATTATGGGAGTGTTTTTTTTTTCAGATGCGACATAAGATTCATCCACTCCGAAAAGGCTTCCAGATACCGGCATTGGCAATGCGAAAGACTAGCAGAGACGACAATTGTACGAAGATGCAACCATTGAACACTGATATCTGGAGATGACATGGTTGAAAATTGCTTTCGCAACGATAGAACAACTGAAGAAGGTCCCTCATATTTGCCTTCTGCGATCTTCACATCCAACATGGACACTCCGAGACGTCTTATGGCTTTGGGCAAGTTTCCATGGAGGTGTATTGAGCGTATATCGTGTTCGATCTCCGAACGAGCAGCATTGAAGTAACTATCTGCACAAAGAAGATCCGAGAGTTTGCAAATGACCTGAAACCGATTTGGATCGGCTCTGAAGTCTTTTGAATGAAGGAAAGGATAGCAGTGGCTCAGGTAATCCCTGGCTTAGGCTAATTTGCCCCGCGACTGGTAGATCTTCGAAATAGTAGACCATTTCTTGAAATTAACAGAAAGCTCCATTGGGGACCATATCTTATTACTGTTCGGGAAAGTTTTCTTCTTTCGAAACTTGGATATTCGCTGGAGACTCTATGATTTCACCGTATGAAAGTAATAGTTCGGCAGACTCAATATCGAGCGGGGTAAACAAGCCAAGAGGACAAGAGATTATATAATACGGTGACACAATTTCATGCTAACCACCCACCACAGGAAATTCACAGATGCGGGAACGCTAAGCAAAAAGATACCTTAAAATCCAGGATGTTCGATCTTTGAATTCAATCTAAGTACAATCATATCATACATCTCATCTATGTGTCAAGTCATGATAAGCTAGGCGGAGCTTGAAGATTAAATCAGGAAAAAAGATCAATACAGGTTAGGTCATTATGATATATGAGAAATGCCCCGAACCAAAGAACAGTAAAAAGAAAAATCCGTGGAACAAGTACCACGTCATATCTTGGAAGATAATCCCTGTTGTCTTTTTTCGCACACCGGAAGAAGGGGGTATTTTTGCTGGAGATTGATGAAATCATCTGCCATACTCCAGGTCGGTTCCTGAGACTGTATGTTTGATAAAAGATCGGGTATGGCAGTCTTCGGCAAGGTGGGAATCCAATAATTCACATCCTCGCGAACCAGAACTTTACACCCTTTATCGAAATATTGTCTCGTATCAGCGCGCCAACTTTGCAGGTCAATGCGAGAAGCGTCGGTCGTGGAACGAGCAATTTGAACACGTGCTAGGGAGATGGATAATTGAGCAATACCATAGAAGAAGCCTTCAGATTCAAAGCTGTTGGGATATTTTTCCACAAGCGAAAGAACCTGCTCCCACTCAGATATGGCGTCCTGGAACCGGGATTGGAAATGCATAAGTCGAGCAGAGGCAATAGTTGAGCGTACATGCAGCCACTGATCACTGATATCTGGCGACGAGATCTCATGGAATTGCTGTTTCAGCCATTCAACACCCGAAGAAGCTTGATCGTATTTACTTTCGGCAATGTCGACATCCACCAAAGAGACTTTCAGACGTTTGAGGGCCTTGGCAAATGTTCCCTGAATTTTGTTCGAAATTGAGTCGATTTCAATTTCAATCTTCGACCGCGCATCGACCCAATACCCCTCTGCACACAGTAGATCTGATAATCTCGTGATGATCTGGAACCGGTTTGGATCAGGGATCAATTTCAGATCGTCTTGGAGATATTCTGGCTGCAGAAAGATATAGCAACTGGCAAGGTACGACCTGGCCGATTCTAATCTGCCACGGGATTGGTAGATTTTCGAGACTGTAGACCATTTCTTGAAGCTGACAGATAGTTCCATTGGGGACCAAGTTGTCTCGCTCGGCTCCCATTTGTTGAGTTCACTTATTTCATTCTCGGCCTTTTCATAAGCTTCAAGCTGTATCAAGTTCTCCAGGTGAGATATCATCAACAGCCGACTTAACGCACGTAGTCTCGGGTTGGTCGGCCCAGGATATGGGGCTCCTTTCTGATAATCAAGGATTATTTGTTCAGATGAGTGATAAGCCCCGTCTAACCGGGCAAATATACTCCGTCGGAGAGCAATGGAAGCTTGAATATGGTCTGGAATGTCGTCACCGAGCATTTGAATAGCTTCATCCAGCGCCTGTCGATTATATTGTGAACTTCCGAGCCTCGCTTTTGCAACAAGGACTTCTGCAAGCTCTATTATTGTAGATCTTGGAAGCTCCCAAGCCTTGCTTTGTTTAGCCAAATGATCGATGACAGGAGAGAGTATTTTCCCATGTCTCTGGAAGCTATATGAAGAATCAGTTGCCATGCATCGACAAGTCCAAAGCCCATATGGAAAGCGGGCGCGCTCGTGAAGGACTACTCACCTGGCCTCCAGAGTGGAGTCGCGAGGGAACACGTGGCAGACAAACTGCAACGCGAGCAAGTTCCAGTGATGCGGATCCTTGACTTTCAAAAGCTGCGCAGAATATTCTCTTGCGCTTTCAGAAATAGAAAAACTTTGATACGAATGGTTCTCAAAACCATCCATGTAAATCCACGAACTTGAACACAGTTCCTTCAAAGATTTGGTCAAACATTCAGGATTGAAAAACTTGCTAAGCGGCATGACAGAATCTGAAAACAATGGTGCACGGACAGGGTCCCCATCTTCACTCCAACGTAGCTGAGGGCTCAAAAATCGCTCAAATATTAGACTTGGTACCTTCATACCACCGAGAGCGGCAAACAGGCCAAGTAGTTCCAACGAAGCCGGAGACAACATGACTGTATGGGAAGTAGGGAATGAAGAAGCGTGAGGCATTTCTGTGAGGGCACTCTGGTTAGAGTTGTTGTTATTTAAGCCATCTGATGCCGAAAAGGGCGATGCTCGTTTTCTTTTCTTCGTGGCAAATTGATCTTCTATCAAGATTAGTCAGCTTATCAGCCATGATGTGGCAAAAGAGGCTCTCACCGGACGGGTCCTCTTCTACTTCTATCTCAAAATCTCCATTGTTACCAAGGTCTACCGAAGGACTAGAAAAACTTCTGATGGTATCTTCGGAGGAATTATGGAAGCCCAGTCTCTTCTCACATTCTAGAAATGGCGGTGTTGTGCTGAGTCGTGATCCTGTGCGAGTTAGTCATCGTGTGTGGATCGACATAGGTGGAAGTTCTCACCCGAAACAAGGCTACTGGCTTCTTCTTCAAGAGCTTCACAGCTGAGCGAATTCTGATTTTGTGTCACATACTCAACGATGAATATGATTTCCTCAAATGTGAAGTTGTCAAGGTCATTTTGGGAGAAGCTGTAAAGCACAAGCAATGCGTGCGCTAGAGAGACCTGTCTCCAGACCAACCAGAGCATTGTCTCATTTCTGTTGCGGGTCCCCTTTCCCCCTTTCGCTGGAGTCAACGGTTTCAGGTTGGAAGTATCGTTCCGGACGTTCTCTTCGAATGATTTTTGAAGTGCGCTCTTTGTTCTCAATTTCCGATGTTTTCCAGATTCCGACTCAAGCCAACTGGTCAAATCCGGACCCTCTCGTCTGATTCCATCAGCAGTCCCATCGAGTGTTTTGTCAATAGGCTTGTTGTTTCTTTTCTTTTTCTTGTCCCTCTCTCCGTTGTTGTTTTCTTCTACCCCGGAGATGGGGTTATTTCTATTATTATCAGCACGCTTTTTCTCCAAACGTTTTTGCTCCAAAAACTTAAGAACAAATCGCAAATAATTTTCGGCCACGATTCGCTGGTTCAGGGACAGCCTATCTTCCGACCAATCAAATAGATTGCCATATATATGTACCTCAATCGGGGATTCTGGAGTCCTCATCTTAGAGAGCAATAAACTGAAATGTAGAGGGGTTGAATGGAGGATTTGGAGAATTTGAAATCAGGCAGAGGATTGAAGACAGGCGGGGGATTGAAGACAGGCAGAGGATTGAAGACAGGCGGGGGGTTGAAATCAGGCGGGGGGTTGAAATCAGGCGGGGGGTTGAAGACAGGCGGGGGATTGAAATCAGGCAGAGGAATAATATCAGGCGGGGGATTGAAGATAGGCGGGGAATTGAAGACTGGCGGGGGATTGAAATCAGGCAGAGGATTGAAGACAGGCGGGGGATTGAAGACAGGCAGAGGATTGAAATCAGGCAGAGGAATAATATCGGGCAGGGGATTGAAATCAGGCAGAGGAATAATATCAGGCGGGGGATTGAAGATAGGCGGGGGATTGAAGACTGGCGGGGGATTGAAGACTGGCGGGGGATTGAATCAACGAATGATCCCGACGCACTCATTGGCCAGAATTGACTGCTCCACCTTTTGTGACGTGATGTTTGGAAGTTCATCTGACAAAACAAGGGGCACCGATCAGGGAACTATGAGCGGTATGGAAACCAAGTACATGTACTGTTGTGTAACATTAATATTTGACCATGTGTACATCGGGCCCCCGACCGCGTTAGTGCCAGAACCTTACCGCCTACCTTATTAGGGTTACGCATCTCACGATTCCAGCGCGCCAAATATACAATATTAAAATGATCCTTTTTTTACCCACCCTATTCCCTCTATTATGCCTCCAATACAAGGAAAAAAAGGCCCTGAGCTTGACTGCCTTACTCGCGCTAAGATATGCGAATTACACCTTACCAATAGCTGGGGCGCTTCCATGATCAAAAAGAAACGCTTTCCTGATATCCCACGCTCTACAATACAATATACTCTTACCCAGGAGTCAAAACAACAAAACCAAAAGAGCTTATCTCGCCCAGGTCAGCCTCGGAAGCTTAGTGAAACTCAAAGAAACCGGATCTGGGAGATTTGCGAGGATAATCCATCCGTTTTAACCGAAGATCTACTTTCAAAAGTAGATTTTAAAGTCCACCGTCAATCTATTTGGCGCCTTACTCACGAAATGGGCCTCCGAAAATAGCAAAAGTTTCATCGGCCATTTCTTACACCAGTCCATACAGCGAAGCATCTTCAATAGGCCGAAAAGTGGCAGCATTTTACGCCAGCGGACTGGGCTCGCGTTTACTTTTCGGACGAAGGTACAGTCGAACGTGGACCCGGTGGGCGTCAAGAATGGACATTAACTCGCCCTAAAGATCGGCTTCATCATCATCCAATTGAAAGCATCGAAGTTCAAATGATTCCAACGCCAGGGAAGCAAATTAAACAAATGTTTTGGGCTGCATTTTGTAGTCAACCGCGTCGATCTGGCTTAATTCCATTGGATGAAGACCCTGAACCTCCTCGACATGGTATATCTTCGCTTAAAATTGATGCATTATATTGACGCATACTACCAACCTTGTTGAGTAGCGTTAATAATGCTATTTTTTAACAAGATAATACCCCGGTGCATACTGCTTATCTTGTAAAAGATATACTCGCCGAGCTTGGGGTTGAGATTATGGAATGGCCTCCTTATTCACCTGATTTAAATCCAATCGAGAATATATGGGCGCTATTGAAATCTGAGATACTAAAGGCTCATCCTGAGCTAAAATACCTCCGAAACAATCCAACTACGCTGGATATCCTTGTAGATGCTGCGCAGGAGGCCTGGGATACACTGGAGATTAACATCTTCGAGCATCTATCTGAAACTAAGCCTCACCGAGTATCTGATGTCATTAAATATGAAGGATGGCATACTAGCTACTGATTTGAATTGATTTGTATAGCATTATATTGAATTCAGAATGTTTCTGCCGGCAGTAAAAAAGTGGGTCAGAGGGGCGAAGTACAGGTGGTCAAATATTAATGTTACATTACAGTACCTATGTATCTACACCAATATCTACAGGACACGGACTCACAGCTTTGACCACAACTATCCAGCTAGCTCCTCATGACCCGACCAGGATTCATCCGCCGAGTGATTGGCCTATTCGTTGAGTATTTACGATCATCCCTCGAATTACTACTCATCGCAAAGGGCTCTAGAAAATCGGTCTCTGGACCAAGATATCGCTACTTTACAATTGTCACCATGTGGCAGTGAGAAAGCAATGGTGTCATTCCTATTAGTCTCATGACATCTAGAAAGATGCAACAAAATCTCAAGGCTGATGCGCCGATGGAGTGCTTTTGTTTCCATTGCAAACCAGTCCTTAAGCCGAGTGGGCTTGCCCGGTTCATCCAGGACCAGGGTGCATTTCCGTTTCTCATACTCGAATATCGATTGCGAATATCTATCGATGCTCGTAGTGCTGACTGCTCTTGCAATTCGCCACGTCTGGGTATGGAAAGTGGATCAGATGCCCCCAAACGGTAACGGATGTAGTTTGTATATTGAGTGTTGATGTCTGCGATGCTCTCCCTCTCGACCGCGAGGTCCCAGGAAATTGTGGCTAGTACTCCAAACTAGCCAGCCTCTGGTTTTATGTGATGGAGTATTTCGCAATTTGAGGGTCTGCAACACGTAGGGTGCAGTGAAAAACGGTTTCTATCCGTATGGTCTGGTGAAGTCGGTATCAATTTTTTACACACCAAGTTAGAAATTTCAGCATTAGAGCTTACTACAAAAGATGAAATTTGAGACCGGGGATGGTAAAATTTCAAAGTGTTTAAATGAGGCACTGCTGACCTCACACCCCTCTTGCATAAGGCAAAGCGCTCCTCATATCAAAGTAAAAGCGAACTAATTTTCTGAAAAACGAGGACATGGCTCATGTTGTATAGTTTTTGGTATTTTTTACCTACGCATTTTTAAGCTAGTTACACTCTAATCTTGATCAGATTATTCGGGATCAGTCTTTCTGGCAGCGTTGCAAAGTTCTTATCATAAATCAATTTATTGCGTCTGGATCGTCGACGCCTTCTCTTTTCATTCATGTTAAACTTCCTTGAAACAATTTCTCTGCATGTAGTGACGCCACCTGTTATTCTACATTCCAACGTGGAGGTGCATATGAAGATGATTCAACCCCGAGGTGCTTCAACGCGCAAGGAAAACGAGATGCCTTTGAGGACCTGGAGTATTGTACTGGCTAACTGCGATATCATACACACGATCTGACGAGACTCGTCTGTGGGCGTGGGTCTTCAATGCTCAGCCGTAACGGGGAGAATGGCAAGTCCCACAGCCGAACGAATAGACGACTAGAAACAAGACTTGAGGAAAGATCAGGTTCCAATATTTGACCCTACATAGTAATTTGGTGGGTCAGTAAGGCCTAAATAAAGATTTCGAAAGACTGAGAAGCTTGTAGACAAGCCTAAACAAACCAAGGTGCAGCCGCCACACCTAACTACCACTTACCCGGTGTTGAGTTGCAATTGCTTACACGCCGGCTGTCTATGCGAACCTGCAGCTAAAGGGCTGGCCACTAGTCTGTAGTGACGTATACAGATAGTGATATTCTCATCAGATCTATTTTCAACGAGCAGCTTCCTGTTATTGCAATTTAGAGACAAGGCTAGAAACGATCCACTATTCAATGTGAAGCTCACCATCAAAGGCTTCCACCCTATTCCAAGAAACCATCAAGATGGTACCGTTTTCATTATTCTCAATGGATCTCAGAGGCTGGCCAACCGCACCACCAACGATTACATTGTCTAGTGAGCCCAATTGCTCAAATATCAAGACATGACAACGCTCGAGATGCTCTCGGAATCCTTCTGGAGTGTAGCCTAGAGCACTCGTAATCCAGTGTAAATATAGGTGATCTGGTAAACTTGTAAGGGGTCTTTTTTCTCTTTTCTCAATAAAATTTGGTTCAAACTTCCCGAACCACCAAAATATTTATGGAACACTGAATAACAGAAGTTCGAATATGCTAGAAGAACATGTCTTCTTGAGCTTGACACTAGGATAATATGAAGATGAGGAGAGGCCATTTTGTGAATTGACCCATCGCCCAATGTGAAAAGTTACCCCTAGTGATATTGATATGTGGATTTTTGCTCTATGTGCTCTGGAATTTTCTTTATGATGCCCCGTCTGTCTCAAAATGAAGTTGTCTACCATAAAATTCAAGAAAGTGTCATGTTGATTAATCCAGAACGATATGTAGAATCAATGCGTGTGCCCCTGGTAATGATGATTCTGAATTACAACAGAAAAGACAGGGCATTTTCTGCCTTTAGCCACCACCATAAGAACCTGCAGATCACACCTGGAAACCCCTTCATTCTAGTTCACTGGAGAACTAGGTCGAGCTATTACTGGCTTGAAGTGGTATCGTTGACCATTGCTTTGACAAATTGGCTTTCCACGATTGAGGCCCACCATGGATAGTGCCAGCCGAAGGCCCCATTTTAATCTATCTTAGGCCGGACGGAGTATTCAAATCACATCTCATTTCGTTTGCTTGAGGCTAATGCAGGATTTACGGCTAATTTCTGACCAACGAAAGGCCAGTATGCAGCCTGGATTTGTGTCTTGAATGAGTATGTTGCAGCATGACCGCGACACTGGTGCCTTTATATTCGCCCGCCTTCTTTTTCAATTTTATTTGATACCCCATTCAAACACCACGCCGTTTTGGTCCAAGTAGAGCTCAAACCTGAGCCTCTCGTGCTTGTCTCTCCAAGATCGAGCAACGCGGGCTCATCGTTCAGGTAAACTACTTCAAGGCTCAATGGACCATTCTTTTCCCTCTTGGCAAAATCGCCTAGTCAAAATGCCAGCTGATCAGCGAAATCACGAGAGACATCACCACTTCTCACAGCCCCTCAGTGCTTATGCCCTTCTCCCCATGAATACCTCACGGCATTCCGACCTCTGCCCTTTAAGCGGAAATCGGGTACCAAAAACCACCGATATTGAGGAAATTTAATCAACAGTCTGAATATCTCGGTCTACATCTCGCTAATGAGATGACGCTATATGGGTTGAATACACCTTACCCTTCTCAGGCACAAGTGCCCCGAATCTATTCTCCGCCTTACTTCTCGAACAGCGGTAATCCTATGATCATTTCCTCATCAATGATGTATCAAATAAATTCTCAAATGCAGACGCATAAAGCGAATGGAGATCCAATAGGCTGGTGGACCGATCCTTCCATATCGTCCGTGTTTCAAGGAATTGGGTATTCTCTTCTGTCACAGTTGGTGCCCCATGAGAATCGTGTTATGATGACTGTGACCCCACCAATCCCAGTTTCTTGCCAGTCGACACCAGGATTTTCCGATGGCGCTGGTCCAGCACCTATGATATCGACAGCTGACTGCCCTCTGCCTCTATCGAGTTTGGGGGCTAACGGCGCAAAAGAACACAATGCAAACCAACTATACTCACGTCTTATCTACGAAGCTTTGTCTTCCGCTCCTGAAAAAGAGCTACCCCTCCAAGAAATCTACGCCTGGTTCCAGAAGGATACAACCAAAGGCATTGACCAGAACCAGAAAGGGTGGCAGAACAGCATCCGCCATAAACTTTCTATGAACGCAGTGAGTGACCTGTATTTGTACAAGGGCATTGACCAAATCATAACGGCTTTCTTTAGGGCTTCGAAGCCATTAAGAGATATGGCCCAGGAGATAAAGCTATGAGCGTATGGCGTCTTACGGACAAGGCAATTCGAGATGGCATCAAAGCTACCACTTGATCGCGAGTAGAATCAGGGGGAAAAAAGGTCAGGGGCTGAGATTCATCTAACTTTCGCCGTCAACGATCGCGGGCAAGTATTGGAAGGGCGCGAATAACTCAGCAAAGAGATCCCTGATTAATAAAAGTTTGTAGTCAATGGCACAATGATAACAAAAGCCGACTTAAAAATAGTCTTTTGAAAAAGTATGCGCAATATATGGCAATCAAACTCACTCATAGTACTTTGGTTTTCTTTTGCATTGAAATCAAGTGAAGTAAGTGAAAGAATACCGAATTGCTTTGGAAAATTTTTTTACCTATATACAACATTGAGTGTCATTCGCATCTTTCAAACCAAAAAAAGATAATTCGAGTTAACTAATATAGTTTGCAAATTACACGCTCTACCTACTGCAACCAACCATGTTGAATGATCGAAACAACAGTTCAAATAGCCCAACCTTGAATCCATCTTCCTTTGGCAAATCCCTCTTCTCTTCAAACGTACACATTTTTTCGCGTCTCAAGATTCATCCAGAAAATACGGTTTGGTATTTCGTTCCACCCAGAAGCAGGACAGTTCATGACACATGGTTCTTTCTTGTCGGCACATTCGGCACAAGGCAATTTCGTTTCCGCGCATTTGGTACATCTTTCCTTGATAGGCTTGGCACTCTGAATCGAATATACTCTAGGAGTCATCTGTGTTAGTAGTGAGCGCTGGGCCATCAGTGCGCTTTTACTCACATGTAACGCTGCAGTGAGGGAACAGCCACAAGCATCAAATCTCCAATAACTGGAGACTTTTTGATACAAGATGTGACGGCGGGAATGAAACTACTATACAGGAGCAGTGTATCTTCATCCTGTGTGCCTTTCATGATCCCATCCCTTATTTGCACCCAGGCGTAATTCTTCTGACCACTAGAGAACAGTTAGGTATTGCAACATCACCAGGGAGATTTCTCGATGCAAGACATACAGTATGTTGCCAGCTGATGAGAACATCGCAAATTCTATGTAAAGTTCGCTCCTCAAATCGGCTTTGGAGACTCCACCAGGGTACACATAGTTTTTGCCTATTTCGTTCCAGTAGTAGATGTCGGTCTTGCAAACTTGGGCAGCGAGCCCTATCCGGCAAATTCCATGAGCAGGGTGCTCGCTTTCTGGATCTGGTCCAAGAAGTTCTAGGATCTCGCCTGGTGACTGTAGAGTTTCAACCCAGTTCTTGATCTTGTATTTTGGGGTTGTGGTGAGCTGTTTTTGATCCGAACTTCTGTAGTTTTCTTGGAACTGGCGAGCTTCAAGAAAATCATTCACCATAGGTAGACACTGTGTCGCTTCGAATCTGAGAGAAATTCCGTCTTGCTCAAAAGCTTTGTCAAGTGTTCCAACGTCGAAGTGGCAAAGAATAGCCGCGAGAGCAGCACATTTATCTTTTTTCAGATATTAATACTAGATGATTTTGGACGACGGTCTCCTCTGAAGCATTACTCACGATCTGTATTCATCTCCTCCTGATACGGCATTGTCGGCGGCCACCATTCTGGTGGCGACGCAATGTACGCTTCCACTTCCTTGAAAAATACCGCAAAAGTCACATCGATATCTGCCGTAGAAAGTAACTTGGAAAAGGCGCGAAATGCCTCGTAGAAGAAGATCAGAAGGTATTCCTCCGGCTCGATGACTTTGAAACCTGTCATATCTATAGTCCTTCAAGGTTGGCGTAGAATCCAACGGTCAATGTAATAAGGAAGAAGGAAGCCTTTTATATGTTTAATATGGTCCACTTTTCAAACTCGACCTGCGGGAGTACTATCCAATAATATTGAACAAAGTCTGATAATTCACTTACCATGTATATCGGGGCAGATGCCTTGCTTGTCCGTGCACTGTAGTCTACGACCCTGCCTAGTTCAGTGGTGGTTTCTGTTCTCTCTGAATCATTCAACCTGGTTAATTCATCTTTCAAACTATTGTCTTATTCAATCGGAAACCTTCAAAAACACAAGAGGATGTTTCGAGACAAAATTTTAAACCCTCAGCAGCATACCTCGGGTGACATTCGCGGCCCTGGAGCTCAGGTCGAAAGCGCAAATTTGAGATATGTGTGTCCATTCTGAAATACGTCCCCAGTAGCTTCTGAATCTCCACCAACATACGCGCAATGGTTTCCAAAAAGTTCAACATTACAACTCGTGCTATGAAGAGATCTTCGTCAGGTCTCCAGGAGCCCCGGGGACTAAACGTTGCTCCTCAGCTTGAGATGTCTGTCTCTCACCCGTCATTCACTCCACTCTACAGATACTACGCAATGATATTTATCGATAATGAGGGCCATCTCCAAGTCGAAGAGTCTCAATCTGTTCGGGATCGTGGGTCTAGTTTGTTCACTCCGGAGGTCCGCCAGAATTTCCTCGAGATTCTAGGCGACCCAATGTACTGTCGTCGGTCCACTCGTATGTAAAGTCGTATCTTAATATATGGGCACCCGCTAATTGTTTTGCAGAGCCAACATACCGTCCATTGAAATGCCTCAAGAGCAATCATCCCCTCAGGTCCGCTTCTAGTTGGCATTTGACTGATCATGATTCCGACAGCGAGGTTTTCAACGATTCCGCTAGCATAGTCTCCCTTAAAATTGGAGATACTGCAAAGATAATGGCTTACTATGAACGCGCTTATAGCGACTTCCAACAACTGAACTGCCGCATGATTGCCAAGGAATTCGTCCGTGCCATTGAGCCAATGAAGCAAGTCAGACGTCCCTATATTGGGAAGGCACCGGAAGGATTCCCATCTGGCATCAAAAAAAACCCAGAAGCGACTAAGCCCGAGTGGTGGCCCCCGGGTGTTATGCACAAGGAGCCTGATCACATGAGGAAAGAGTGTATGTTTGTTTATAGGTTGATTTTTCCTCGTATGTGCTGACATTTTGTTTGAATAGACCGCCTCAAAATGCTGATTCACATTACCTGCAAGCTCCGTAGCTATGGCATTACGTCCGATAAGTTGAAGCAAGTCGCTAGAGACACCGAGCGGAAGTTGCCGGACCCGAAGCGCGCCGAGGTAATCTATGAGATCCTTCGGGTTCGAAAGATGCAAGAACAATTTGAGAGAGGTGAAGTCGGTAAATACAGTATCCTCACGGTGAGCGCTTTGCGTTTGACTAAAACTTCTTAGACAAAAATGTGATCGTCAACATCGTGAATGGTTACCCTTTTGAGGACAACGAAGACAAGTCCATCAACGCAGTCTCCCCCTTCATTGAAAAACCCAAGCACCCCGCGCAAGAACCAATGGTGTCGAAGCCTGTTAAGCAAGATTGTTCTCCACTGAACACACCAATCGATGATCTGTCTTCAGCGTCGATACGTGATCTACCAGTCAGTCTCAGCGGCTACACCTTGTGGCCCCAATACACCAATCTATCATCGCAACCTGGACTCAGCACGAACGCAGAAATGATCAGGACACAGTGCAGTGTTGGAAATACTTTCGCAGCGTCCGCCAATCTTTATCTGTACACTGAGCCTCCATATCCCCATGGCCCCAGGATCGAGACAAAAATTCACCAAGATATCACCAGCCCAGCAATCTATGGCGCACCAGCCACCATCCAAGGGCTTTCCTCTCCCCAAGTGAACTGCCAAGACAGTACAGCCTCAGGGAGCTTGCACGACATAGCTCACCATCACTACCAGACCCCTATGAACTCCGTGATCAATGGCACCGGCACTTTTATAGAGAATATAATGGACCATTTGGATGGGCTGCCACCTAAGGACAGATGATGCGTTGAACTGGGATCATCGGATACAAAAAGAGTGAGGCGTGCGGGTATCGACGAGTATACATGGTTGGAGGGTCCACGAGTACGACGTTTTGTCTATAGTCATCGCCAGGGATATGATTTTTTTGTTTACTTATCTTTTATATGCATATGCATGCACATATATTCATGTTCTCGCAATGAAGAGTTTAAAGCTATGCCCTGTCTTCAAGAAGAACCCGCCAACACAGCTTCAATATAAATGCTCTACTATATGAAGTGGCTTCGTGGGCGACTGCCAGCCATTTTTGTCTGATCGCCATAAAACTTTCCTTTTTTTTCTTTCATTTTTGGACTACAGACGACTAGTTGAATTACAAGATCCCTCATCTCGATTATTTGAATTCGCCAAACATATCAAGGTCATGAACTCGCTGTCTCGTTTTTCTGAACCCCCTCTACCTTCAATTGCAACTATTCTTGATCAAGCTAGACTGTTTGACCCGGTACAGGAACGCAAAGATGACAACAGCGCAGATTGAATCGGCTCGTTACAATGAGCAATATCCATCGGAAATGGAGATCACTGGCTTCGTCGTGTTCTCGGCTTCCTCCGACGGAATCGGCATATATTCTGAGGTGCAGCGGTCTCTACACTTGAGACCAAAAAGAGAAAAGGGCCCTTTTGTCTATGGGAGAGGGGATTCAGACACATGTGGGCGGTTTTTGCGATGCGGGGCAGAGGAAAATGACGTGGTAGGTTTGCTAAAATAGTATATTGAATCAAGACTGACAAATTATAGTTCTCTGGAAAAATCCATGAGGCTATAGGCGATGTAGATTTTCTCCTTCGTCAGGGTCCTGTCATCATTCTCTCCCTCGAAAACCACTCAACCTGGGGCACCAGGCTTGCGCACCCATCTCGTAATGCGGTATCTGTATTTCGAGATCTTTCGAATATTGACGAAACCAGAGTGGCTTTCAAGCTCTACCCCCCAGGTTTACCGAAAGAGGCAACGCGTGAGACCTGCCCCGTTTTGCGGAAGCTGCGGCCAAACGAAATTCTTTTTGTGAAAGGATCAGTCAGAATGGAGATAGAAGTTCCTGTTGGGGGCTCTTTTGTCTGGGAAGGGAAAAGTGGGGAACCAATGGGGCTCGACATGCTTGGGCCGGAGGTATTTGAGTTCATGGCCGTTTAAGTGGTTCGTGCCTTAGTGTATCGGAAGTATTGGACACGGAAGCTAGACAAAAAATTGGGTTAGCTAGAAGATAGAAAAAAAGATACGGATCACTACCAATGTTTGATACTTGAATTTAGAAGCCAGCAGTCGCTCTGCGTGACAAAGAATATCGGTATGGCTAGCTTTCAGAAGCCGCATAGCTCTAGCTTCTTCGCCAAGGGACAATCGACGGAAAGTAGGCAACACTGGAGCCAACAGAAGTGCAATTCCCTCACCAAACTCAATCTCAAACCTCCGAAGCTTTCGGCCCTGTTGAAGATCACTGCAAGCATTATGATCGTTTGAACGCCCGAGATGACGAAGGAAAGTTGGCATTGACCAGACACCACGCACATGACTACCCGGAAGTGCGCGGTCTAATCCTTGCGTTCGTAGCCATTCTTCCTCTTTCAAGGCCAGAGAAGACCATCGAAGAATGCTGAGTAGGCGCAGGATCCATAAGCGTGAACTCGCACCATGTGAAATAAAATCAATTGCACTTGGGCAGTCACTTGTTGCGGCCATTTGCGCAATAGCTGGAGTGAGATCAACTTCCAGAAACCTTAAAAAATGTTCCATCTGAGCGGATAGGTCGTGAAGGAGACCCTCCGCGGTGACTGGTGAATTGCGGCGAGCTGGCATAGTCGATACGTGAAAGAGGAGATACGTTTGTGTAGCTTGGATACTCCCGTGCAGCTGACTCAGAAACTTGGGTGACCAAATGGGTATAGGATAGAATGAATCCCCACAGAGCTGGTTGTGTAGAATCCAGGCCCACTCAGACCCGGTGACAGTAGATTTATGCCCCTGAAAGAAACACGTACCTTTGTGATCATGATTTCAATATATAAAGGATGAGTTTTCAGCTGGGAAGCTTCAGATCTATATTCTATCCACCGACCATGGCACACAGTTCTGTGAGCAATTCTAGACCAAGCGTCAATATCTTCGCACTGCTAGCGACGTGTCTGGGATTCTCAAAGGTACGCCGAAAAAGACCTTGACTCGCGCAAACTGACCATCCAGAGCGAGGCTGCAGTCTACTCAACGGAACTGCCGGATTCCTCCCATAGGATTAAAACACAGCCTCAACCGCGCGTGACCTATCCTGGTATATCTGACCGCTCTTCCTGCAAAGAGTCAAAAATACAAGTGCAATCAAGCAGGCCGTCAGACATGAATCTTCGCGGCGATGGAATGCCCCCCTACGGCAAAAACCCAGAGCGCATTTTGCCATATAACCTAACAAGTGGCAAGCCAGAAGGAAAAGTTATCGAAGTGCTGTCTGTCGACTATGAGAAATGTGCGTTGAGTACAGCGAACCTACAAATTTTGTCTGAATCTAAAGGAATTGTGAAAATGGGATGGTTCAGCTATGAGGAGATCCGAGAACATCATGGCACAAGGAAAGCGGTGGAAATTTTCAAGCCAACTTGGTAGTAGGCACATCGTATTGTTTGTATTCTTGACACATCAACTCAAATTTGCAAAGAAGCTACTCTATACGTCTACTTGGTAGAAGCACGAGCAAGGGAATTGCATGGGATTGGTCTCTTCACCACAAGGTATTATGGGCGGGTGAACAAAAAGAAACTCTACCTGACAAAGTAGAGAATGTAGGGTGTGCATTCTGAGCTATACTACTTTGGGACGGGAGATCAGGGCCTTTCGCCTCCCATGGTGATTCTCAGCTGGATGTCACATTTGGTCGCGCAACCGCCGCATTGACCCTGAAAAGATGCTCCGGAACTCAATGTCAATATGAATGTGCAGGAATTGTAGGGTGTGAATTCTGAGCTATACTACTCCGGGATATGAGAGAGATTCTGGCTATCCCGAGATTCGTCAAAACAATTGCCCACTTCCTTCCCCTTTTTGTCAAGTGCTTAAATTTTGTGACAATATGTGATAGTTTGATCCAACACTTGTAGGAGGTTGTCTACACTAAGTAATAATGGGCTTCTCTCTCTCTCGCGAATGTTGGGGTTTCCTTCTCAAATTCTCAAATCTTCTCAAACTGAAAAATACCCATAATTATAGCCTCGCCCACCTGATTAATCCGCTATGGCGACGGGAAAATGTGCTTATCTTGCATCGCACGCAGAAGTCTGGCCAGTCGACCAAAGCCTCAGCTGTAAAATTGAATCGATGTACATGTGGGCACACTCACAAACATACTGATAATGTTCCGGTTTTCGATGAATCTAGACAAAATTGACTATATGTGAAAAAGCCTGGCTCTAAACGTTGATTCTCCACACTAACATTTCTCAAAACGCCACTCCCCCTCAGACCATCGGGACACCCTGGTGCAGGAAGTGATTTAGAAGTCTGTCGATGCGACCCACTTCAAGATTGAACCATTCGATGAGTCGCGGATCATTTGACGCAAAGACCGTACTTTCCGCCAAGTTGTATTGGTCTCTAATATGCGTCAGCCCTCTGGATGCGCTTTCCGCATATGAACGGCTGAATTCGGCTGCGAAAAGAGGATCGGAGCTCAGCAGACGCCAATGGGTCTGATCAGTGAACTGTTCTCGGATCTCAGCAGTTGATTCTTGTTGCACTGCTAATTCAAACTGGTCCTTGCCCAGTGGAATGGCCAGGAGGATCGCATCGGATAAACTGGGCCCTAGCGATTGAATCACACAGTGGAGATGAAAGACGGAATGGTGGAAGTCTGAACACTGGTAACAAAGGTCACAGCCGATACTAGCTTGAATCCGCATGGTCTGTAAGTCTGGGTTAAAGACGTGCTGGCAAGTGAAGCATGACAGATACTCACTTTGATTGACTTCATTTGGAAAACCTGCTAGAGCAGTATTATGCTAGCCAATCAAGTAGACTATGTCTCTGGGGAAGTTCAGTGGGTTCTTATAGAGAAATAGCTTCGCCCGAGCAATGCATTGCCGATTCCATTTCTGTAAATGCATGTTCTAGAACACAGCCATCCGATTGCACGGTCCGCCCTTCGATCATTTCCGTCTTTTCCTTGTTTCAATTATTTCTCAAAGCAATGACCAAGGAGCAGATTTTTTGCTTCTTTTGCTGGCTTTCTCGACGCACGTACTCCAGTATATTTGGGTTGCAGCAGGACTTCTTCCGGGATATCGATCCAAAAACAAGCTTGTCACCTCCGACCACAGCCGTTACTCATCTCTCCTTAATGCAGACAAATGCTTGAATGCTTAACAAGACTGTTTATCTCTGCCGGCATATAGTTTGATCCCCTAGGATCATCCTGCCACACAATGGGTGCGGCAGTTATGGTATAATCAAGGAAACAGGCCACTTTGGTCAGACAACCAAAAAGGAACCATGCCCTGACTGTATTGCCAATGGTATTCATGTGAAAGTCAATAGGAAGTTCAGAAGGCTTGACTTAGCGACACCGTATCAGTAAGTGAATGATAAGTGTGATCCCGATAGAGGACTTACATGTGTTTGGAATAGGAAATTTGAACGCTCCAGCCAGCTGCCTGTCATATTTTGAGCAATAGAAATCAAGGTGATTGGCTTGCCCGTAGGTAATGACGTTATAGAGAGTGGTTGTTACATGATAGCGTATTGGGGCGCTAAATCTAAAGAGCCAAAACCAACTCGAACAGGCGATTCACAGGTCCGCCGTTTACATCATGAAATCAGTTGATGTTATTACCTATATACATTTTTCGCTGGGTACGGCTGTCATTTCCTAAGCTTTGTGCTCCAGTACACCTGTAAAGAGCCTTGACTCCTTCCTCTGAATTTCTGACCGAAACGCTCAGTCACCTCCGACCATGCAAGGTTTTCTTCTTTGAGTTTTACGAGTAAGCGAGCCTCTTCCTCGCACCATGGTAGCCCTTTTCTCGAAGAAAGTCCCGCATCGATCGCTTGAGCAATTATGCTTGTATGCTGAGATCTAGGCGTCGGGACTGTATCCCTTCTCGGAGGCGTATGGATGCAATGAGACAAGGCACCCTCGAACAACCAGGACAAGAACTGTAATCTTTCCTCAGCCGGAAGGGCGGAGAATTGAGCACGAAATGCCGGAAGAGATACGTTCTTGCGGCCGAGTTCCAGAGTGGACCATCTGGCCCTTTTTTTGGGGCGATTGTCGACGACAACTGAAACTTTGCTGATTTTGGCAGGCAGCTGACCGACTTTCACTGGCCTTTGAGGATCGTGTTGCCTGCTGTGGTGATGGGCATTTCGAACCGGGGAGCGAGAGTGTTCATCTGGGATTCTGCGTGGAATGGCTGCGGCGATAGTGGTAGTTGGTGTTGTTTGAGCTAGCTCAACATCGCGCGAACGATTATCGTCTGGGATTGCCGGATCGATTGTTAGATCTTTGGCAAAGTGTCCGGCCTGTATAGAGCTTTCAAGAGGAATTTCAGGAACCTCAAATTGAGAGTGCTGCTCAGGAGTGAAAGCGAGCTCCGAGCCACTTGAGTCGAAGCTGAGGGATTGGTGCTCAGAATCCGGGACGATTTGTTCGCGTGTCATTGTATGATCACCATCTCCAACATTTGAAGGATCGTTAAGGTATAGGGAATCTTCAAAATCAAAGGCGTTAGGGCCAGGGTAAGTCGGAGATGTTTTCTCCAATATCTCCGGCTCGTGTCGAGTGATTTGAGCGTTCGGTTGTGGACCGCCATTGAAGCAAACCTCTGTCGGTGGGCGAACAGGTAGGGGATGTCGCTCAAGTCTTGAAGCATATGTCTCCTGAGTCTCTGAAATAGGATTGCTAAGATTGGAGGGTGAAGGCGTCGCAGATATGGAGACTGGGCCTGGGTACCGAGTACCGAGGCGATTCCGTAAAGGCTGTACTTTCTCTTGGGGGAGGTTACAAGGCTGGAAGGATTCCAAGCGATAACTGGCGCTCAACATGTTGTGTGCAGGGGTAACTTGGAAGGGTTAAGGCGTGGGGATAGTACGAATTCGCCTGAGGGACACTAGAAGGGGGGATGGAGCTGCAATTGATATGGAATCGGGGGAAATGGGAGCGGGGAATTGGAACAGGTTTGAGGTGCCGAAGTGCTATTCGGGTGGAACAGCCAGTGTCCTTTATACCATGAAATCAGCCTCGCGAGAGGATAAAACTCTCATGCCGCGGAATGTATTCCCATCATATCGGGTAATCCGATCCGGAGCGCCCCCAAAAACACGTAACCATAGAGCTCCCAGTCTCACTGCCAATAGTATAGCCTCGACAAGACAACGTCACGCCATCTTCGCAAACCGAGGTCCTTATCCGGTTCATTGCAGACGCGAGATTTTTGCTATTGGCTCATGTCACCGAGATGAGTTGTCGAAGGTAGCCTAGCTCGTTACAGCGGGGCCGGTGAGACTGACCATGACGACAATAGGCCGCCACCAGGCTCACGAACGAGCAGGTGCAGTTCAATCTGCGACGCCGGGGGCTGTGCGATGTAACATCAGTAACAACTATGCCGAAGAATGGGTCCAGTGGCGAGGAGATCCGAGATACACCTGCAAGCGCGAGGAACGCGGGCAAAACAGGGGAATGACCTTCGACAAAGGCTTAGAAACAAATGGCATTCTAAGTCGCTCTGTACCAAATCAACCACATTAGTCAATTGAAAAGTAATAGACAGGGCGTACACTCACGGTAGAAGGCCGAAAACGGGTCATCTCAGCGCTCCAACTCCTGGCCGACTGATCGCATCGCAGTCGACGTGGCCAGGGACGGGGCTGAGCGGCGGCGGTTCAAGCGGCATGTCCGACGAAGTCCGATGTGCGAGGTCATTTCGGGACGCAAGACAAGGGCGTGCGAGTGCCAGCGCACCCAGGTCGGTGGGGGCGAAAGGAAAAAGGGGTCGAGAGGGTGGGAAGCAGAAGAGAAAGTGCGTCAACGAGTCGGGGGAGGGCGAGTGGTGTTTTATAGATGGGCCGGCCGAGGGCCAGACTTGTAAAAGCGGCCACTGCGGCGCTAGCCCGATTGGAGCACCTCAGCGGGCCACCAGGCCGGAAGGGGCAGGGGGAGACCGCAGTCAGGCAGGCGGTCGAGGCGGGCGGAACAACAGGCAAATGGGCGCCGTTTCCCGCGCCCCGCTTGCCGTCCTGTAGTATACTATTATTTAGATAATATCAATAGTCTAAATAATTAGAATTATATAATTTTATCCAATAGATCCATTAATTATAACTACAATTATATTATATTTATTCAAAACTACAAATTTTATAATAAAGTCTTTAAATCTTTTTTATATAAAATTATGAATATCTTACAAAGTTATAATTCTTTATAAGATATATGTTACATTAGTTTATTCATTTAGTATATATTATCAGTACTTATATAGAATCTAATCGTACAGTTTATCTTTATAAAATATATTTTACAGTTTTTTCTATCTCTATATATCTATATATAAAATTATTATAATAGCTTTGAATAATCTTATTTCTAAATTTAAATAAAATATATATTAATCTATATATTATCGTTAATAAAGTTTTTATTCTTAACTTCTTCTACTAAGATTACATTTACTATTATATGTTCTTTTATACCTTTTAAATTTATCATAAGAAATTGTTTAATTAGAAATTATTTATTGCGTAAAGTAGTTCTATCTTAGTTCTATTTTAAAATAGTAGATCTAGCTATCTTAATATTAAACTTATAATCTGATTATCTATTTAGAATATCTGTTCAAAATATCTATTTAACTGTTTTCTATTTTTTGAAAAGATTTAATTTAAAGATCATATTATACAAAGATTTGAATCCATTATATTTATTATTAAATAAAGACTTTGATTATTATAAAGAATATAATATTTTTATAATTCTATTAAACTATTATGATATATTTTATTTTTCTAAAATATATTTATTAGATTGATAATATTAATATTATAATTAATAGCTTTTTATTATATATATATATTACAATTAAGTTTGACTAGGCTTTTTTTTTAATTAAAATATGATTAGATAATGCTTCTTATATAATCTTATTTATATCAATCTAGCTTTTAGAACATAGTCCAATATATCAGTTTTTATAATCTTAGTTCTATAATCAAACATAATTATAATTATCTTATAATTAAAAGGTTTTTAGATTTTTGAAATAATCTTTCTATTATAGGCCTGGACAAATCCCGCGGTACTACAAACACTGCAAACATGCAAATTTTAAAATACACTATGTTTGAACCTTGTATTTAGACCTTATATTTATAGGTAATATTTTATCTTTTTAATATATTTATAATAAATTAGTATGGATATTTATAAATTACCAACTATAATTCGACTATATAGTTTATTTACTAATTTGAATAAATTACAGATGTTCTGTGGAAATTAGGGGAATCTGGTATTGGGAGTGAATATATATTTCTGCATTCGAATACTACTTTTTTTTTTTTGAGAATTCTACATTTTCCTATGGTCGGAATTTGTTCAAATTTTGCATAGATATAAATGAAATAGTGAGAAAGAACTAGGCAAGATTTGAACTAATTCCGACCGTAGGAAAGTGTAGGATTGAAGATTTTAAAATTTTTGAATGTCAAAAATGCGATGTCGGATCTTGATGTTCCGTTCCGAAAAGTTCAACTTCCTTATTTGGAAGTCGGAATATCTGATTTTCCGCCCCGTTTGTGTGGAAATATCGATCAAATTCCCATACAGCCCTTCAATTTTTTATTTCTTCAATAGAATCTTTTCCTACGGTCGCATAGTGTTCAAATTTAGAATATAGGTTAATTAGCATAGGATCTATATATTCTGAAAATTTTATTAAAATTGATCGATTGGAAGCTCTAATACAAGAATTACATACATTATTATTCATCCATTATTCGTAGGATTATGCATCCCAAATAGGAAATTGAGGCTAAAATATGCATTCAACGGTACCAGCGGTATTCCCGTTGGTACCGCGTGATCTTGCGGTACTGCCGCGGGAACGGTACCAGAATTTGGTAAAATCCCGCGGTACCTGCGGTTCCGAGCAGCGGTACCAAAAATTCCCAGATCCCGCGGGATTTGTCCAGGCCTATTCTATTATATCATTCTTTTGTAAACATTTTCGTTTTTTTTAAATTAATTTATAAAGTCTTATTACAATTTTAATATAACTATTAATAATCTTCTAGGAGTAATTTATTAAATTAGGAAATTACTAAGCTTCTTTTATATTTTTAAGAATAGACTATTTTATCATTTATTTTATTTTATCTTTCTCTATTTTAACAAATCTATTTTTTAATGTAAAATTTACATTCCTTTAATTTTGATATAATTTCTATTATTTTCTGTGATATAATTTTATTATATTTAATATAATCTTTTATAGACTTCCGCAAAACCCCATTTTCGACCCAGTCTTGGCATTTCCCGACCCAGTTTCGACCCAACTTTATGCATAAATAAGCATAAAAATACATAAGTATGCCATGACCTTCCTAATTAGTTCTATTTATGCTTATTTATGCATAAAGTTGGGTCGAAACAGGGTCGAAAGTTGGGTTTTGGGTCGAGACCTTCGACCCAAATGGGGTTTTGCGGAAGTCTAATCTTTTAATATCTTAACAGAAATCTAATAATTATTAAAATATATGATAACAAAGATATTAATATTTTTTTTAAACATTTTAAAGTAAAATATTAAAATATAAGTAGTATATTAGTAAGAACAAAAGATATAATCTTATATTTATAATATCTAAATTGAATTCTAAATACTATTTTTTACTTATAACCTAATTAAAAATTTATACGATAATAGATGTTAATAATATTAAGTTTAAAAAAATATTTCATATCTTTAATCTAATCTTATATCTTATAAATTAGAAGTAATAAATAATAATCTACATAGAATTAGAAACTTCATTTCTTTAGTATAAAAATAATTAGATACTTAATTCAAGATTTTGAACTTTAAATATACTCTTTTATAAGTTTTTATTAATATATTTCTTTTAAATATATGAGCCTTTTTTTTTCATAATAATAGATGACTAGATTTGAACATAGATTTAATATCCTTTATTATATTAATCTTATGATGAAAAGATCTATATTTTGATAACGTTCTATTAATCAATAATAAAAATAAATATATCTTAGAACTTACAATATTCGTCTAGAATATATGATTTATCATTCGTTATAGATAGTCTCTTTAATTTGATAACTATCGTATTCTCTGATCGCTAAAATATTGAATTTTATCAGTTCTAGATATCTGTAAATTAAAATGAGTAATACAACACTTACTTTATTAACTCTTTTGAAAAGAGCTTTTTTGTTAGATGTTATAATTAATACTTTATATAGTAATACCATAAGTTAAGCCTATCTTTTTGAAAATTCTTTTTTTGTATCGATTTCTTCATTTACTATAATAATCTTAATTTCATATCATAATCTAATTTATTAAATTTATAAGGAGTTTATATTTTAGATGTGATATATAGTTTTCATAAAAGTACTTTTGTAAGTTATCATCTTTGTCTATCATTATGTTAATAAGATATTATTATAGATTGTAAATTTAAATATTCTATAGAAGATTGATTATAAGTTTATTAACCGTTTTATCTATTTTAATATAATAACTAACTATATCAAAAGTTTTTTTTAAAATATATATTATTTGAAAAAAGTTAAATAATAATTAATGCTTTATTCTATCTTATACTTTATTAGATTTTCAAAGTCTTAATATATAGTTTTTTTCTTTCTAATAATCTATTTTTAAACATTATACTGTATTCATGTTTAACCTTTTATTGTATATTGATTTATCATTAATGGTTAATTCAAAACTTATTTATAAGATATTCTTTGTTCCAGAAATATATTAATCAGGCTTTATATAAGTATCTAGATAGGTTTTACT